AGTTTTGCCTAGGCTAAACTAGTTCTTCCTATACGCGTTAGGATTAACTAGTATAACCTAGTTCAAACTAATTTGTCCGAAGCCCGATAGGATAAATTAGTTTAGGCTAGGACAAACTAATTGATCCTGATATAAATACGCACACTCTAGGATAAACTGGTATGGCCTAGTCATAATATGATTACAGGGGCAAGGGGTCTCGGGTTCGATTCCAGATTAGGGCAAAGTATTACTAGGTTTTAAAAAAAATCTAAGTATTAGCACGGAGTCTGGAATTATGCCCGGTATATGGCAATAGGCTCACCCCCTATTACATGGGACTCGTAACATAAATAGTTAAAAGTGGGTGTTACATTGTACAGTGGCATAATGTGCACCTCTGCTTAACCCTTCGGGGGTAAAAGGCGTGATGTTATATGATAAAAAACAGTACCTATTGTTGGTTATAGTATGATTGTTTGTATTGCCAATTATTATCTATAACTTGTAGCGACGAATCATTATGATTTTATATTAATATCAATTTAAATAATTATTGTTTCTTTTAAAAAACACTTATTCTTTGGTATAGTATGATTGTTCGTATTACCAATTAACCATAAGTTTTAACGACGAATCATTATAGCTTCATAAAAATGATTATTTTTCCAATTACGGAGTATTTTATTCAATTTATCTATTTTTTTTTTACTTTCTAGATACCTATATTAAAATGTTTAGACTAGGCCATACCAGTTTATCCTAGAGTGTGCGTATTTATATCAGGATCAATTAGTTTGTCCTAGCTTAAACTGGTTTATCCTATCGGGCTTCGGACAAATTAGTTTGAACTAGGCTATACTAGTTAATCCTAACGCTTATAGGAAGAACTAGTTTAGCCTAGGCAAAACTAGTTTGTCCTGAAATCGGGTTTGGCCGGTAACATATGTACCCCTATACTTATTATACTCTTTTGACTAGTTTTGACACATGTGACTAACACGCACTTGTGAGATAAAGTAGGTAGGTATTGGGTATTTAGAGGTCACTTATGATATTTTATTGCAATGACCTTCAAATGTAATCCCTTGGTTTATCCACACTGTCAAAACTCAACAGATATTTCGTAAACTTCCATCGAAAATTCCATACAAACTATAATACCAACAATGTTGTTATCAATGCATTTCATAGTGAACCGTATTTTAATATCTATAGAGTTCAATTTGCGTAATGCCAATATTTGCAACTACGGTGTCGGTTCTTGATAAAAAACTGTCACTCAAGAATGTCCAAAACTCACTTTAGTCTGTAGATACTGCATTTAGAACTGTATTTCATAAAGCATAAAGGTCTATTTACTTAGATTGTTTATCGGATGAGATGAAAGGGCTTATAGTTTCGTCTTTCCCATATTAGTGTGTCAATCAAAGAGTTACATAAATACTTAACTTTGCTGATAAATAGGTTTAGATAGTTTATCAATAAACAAAAATGTTTATCATGACTATTTTGCCCTAAGGGGTAGGCAATACTTTCTGCCGACGACTTTGCGGGTTATCAGAGCTGCGGCTCAAAGCAGGGGTAGGAGGAACGGAATGGTTTTTAGTCAGAAAGAGTCTGACACTCAATCTCGCCTACCCGTTCGGGGATAAAAGGCGTGATGTTGTATGTTATGCTTTTCAGCTTACTCACTTATGTAATTATACAGTAGCAGCGCGACATTCGCCGCGTCGCGGGTCGCGGAATGCTGCTCATGAATATCTCTCAGAATGCTGCTCATCACAGCTTATGTCTCAAAAGGTAATATGTGGAAAATGTGGATATAACATTAATTTGGTTTTATGTACTTTACTGATGGATATTATAAATAGTGTAATGTTGTTTTTGTTCCCAAATAAAATAAAATAAAATGAATATGAGCCTCTAGCATGGGTTGAAACTAGTCGAGTTCCTCGTCAAATTATTACGGGAGTAAGCCGAAAAACATAATTATTAATTTAGTATGTCTCGTGATAATTAATATACTATAGGTAGTTATAGTTAGATATTTAACTAAGTACAAAATAGACCAACTTTATGAGTATGTTAGCATAGTATTTAGATTAATATAAAATGAATTTATCTCCAGTGTCTTATGTTTATGGCACGATCATTATGTTTATAGTAATTTACACATGGTATCACATGTTTCTGTAGCCAAGTAGGCATTTGATAATAAATTTATTATTGAAGAGAACATTGTTTTGCTAAGATGGGCTTTGGTACATTTTGATACGAGTAGAAGAAAAAACCACTAACCATCCACATTTTGCATGTTTCGTGAAAATGTTTTTTTTTAAACGTTGCCCCACACTTGGATTTTCACCTATGTTATGTGCGTGGGTGCGTTTACAAACATACAAGTTCACATACACATGACACCCAGACCCGGAACAACAATCTGTGGATCACACACAGAGAAGTTCCGTGCGGCAGCCAGTTGCCCACCCACCGCTCCAACCGATCACCGATCTTCCGGTTCCTAAAGGCAAACCAAGCCAGGATGTCCAGGGTTATAGACCAGTGGCGGTGCTGTCGACCCCGGCAAAGGTGTTCGAGTCTGCTATTCAAGCCAGTGTGCAAAGACAGGTGCAGGCGCGGTTAGCGGATGCGCAGCACGGGTTTCGGCCGGGGCGCAGTACTGCCACTAATCTACTTAACTTCATGGCGCGCGTGGTGCCGGCAGTAGACGCCGGGGTGCAGGTAGATGCCGCCTATTTCGATTTTAAAAAGGCATTCGACACGGTTGATAACGACATACTGCTCAGTAAATTGGCGGAGATTGGGTTTACGCCACACCTGTTAAACTTCTTCGCCAGTTACATGAAGAACAGGCAGCAGTATGTTGACTACAGGGGTTCCGAGTCTGAACTATATTTCGCTAGGTCTGGAGTAAGTCAGGGTAGCAACTTGGGGCCATTGGCATTCATTATAATGATCAACGATTTGCCAGAGGTAGTCAAGCATGCACTTTGTTTGTTGTTTGCTGATGACCTCAAGTTGCTGCTGGAAATTAAAGATGTATCAGATTCTGAACGTCTTCAAGAAGATATACAAAGAGTAGTAGATTGGAGCCAGAAGAATAGACTACATTTTAATGTGGAAAAATGCTCCATGATGACATTTACTCGTGCAAAAGCACCAATACAATATGAGTACAAGGTGGAGTCGGTACCAATGAAGCGGGCTGCTCAGGTTCGAGATCTCGGAGTCATAATGACACCAGACTTAACCTTTCGGGGACATATTGTTAAGGTGTGTAAAAAGGCGTATAGGAACTTGGGGTTTGTACTGAGGCAGACACAGGGGTTCAATAGGATATCAACGCTAAAGGTACTTTATGATGCTTTAGTCAGAAGTCACCTTGAACATAGTGCGGTAATCTGGGATCCACATGAAACGAAGTACAGTGTCATGTTAGAGAGAATTCAGAACAAGTTCACAAGGCACTTGTACTTCAAGCTGTATGGTGTGTACCCTTTTTACCCTTTAATGTACCCGACATTGTTTGTACTGGGCATGGTGGGGTATAGTGAGCTGAGAGTGCGCAGAGAATTTACGTTAGCTGCTTACGTGGTGAAGTTATTACGAGGTGTGGCACATAACCCGGGAGTGCTGCGCCACCTGCAGCTGTGTGTGCCCGACCGATACGTGTGGAGGCGACATCGTCCGCCACTGCTCGCTGTACCGGTGGCCAGGACCAATCTTCTGGCCAAGACCCCGCTTACACGAGCCATTTGCACGGTAAATGAGGTTCATGGCCGCATTGACATATTTTCGTGCAATACGAGTGATCTAGTGAGAGTATTAATTAATATAAGTGCATATAATAATACGTTGCAATAGAATTACCAAACTCAAAATTGTTTACTCTCTCAAAAAAGTATCGAAGTTATTTCTTTGTTTTGTACTGTAATAATAGTTTATGTTAGTAAGTAGATACTGAATAGGTGTTAAGTAAAATATCGTTTATGATTCATTGTGAGTATTTAATTTTAAGTGAAGAATTTGGTTTTTATGATTCTGTTACTCAGTAGTTAGAAATGTTAAACAGTTAAATTTGTATAGGAAACTTTATTGTATTAGTATATAGGTATGTATAAGTGTTAAGTTTTTATTTTAATTATAATTAGATAATAAGTAATTACTAAAAGATGTGGTAAGACTGATGGCTACACTATCGTATTGGAATGTATCTGTAATGGTAGTAGTTAGTGCATTAAATAAATAAATAAATAAATAAAAATAAATAAATAAATAAATCTTGATAGTCTTTCTGAGCTCCTAACTAACAACCACTCCGCAGCAGTTATGCGCCATCTTGTACATGGGCAGAAGAAGTGTTCAGAAATCAGCCTTAAGATTGGACCCACTGATCTAAATTCTTCCCAAAGTCTTAAGAAGTTAAAATGTGGCAAATGTATTTGAATTTACCTTCTTCATCCGCTGTCGTATGAGCGGAACAAGTAACTACGAACTGCCTGCCAACCATGGAGGACATGGACTTACATAGAGGAGACCTTTAATGTTGTTCCTACTTAAATTCATTTATTCTTGTTTCGCAAACAGAAACTGCATAACATTTATGTGATATGACTTCAAAAATCTCAAGACACCCACCATAAGGGGTCTGTATTCTATCAGCAATGACAAAAGCAACAGTCATATTTTTTTTAATGGTGGAAATTCATCGAATGACTGCTCCCGCCTGGGTGAGGCGGGAGGGAGTGTCAGACTCTTACTGCACGTCGAGCCGGAACCCCGGTAACCCATTATGTTCTCCGCGACAACAACAGTCAGATACGACCATCTTGTAGTCTATTAAAGAATTACTAATCTTAATATACATAAGCCCTATTTATCTGATAGTGCCGCCTACTCAAGATGGTGTTAAGCCACTATAAAACGCCTAGGCACATCTATCCGAGTTTCAAATCCTTGCACTTCAAGCAAGAGTTTGGGTGTAGAGGAACAAGAAAATGGCCGAGGTAGGTAACGAAATATTTATTTTTCTTTTACTCTGGTTCTAGCAGAAAAAGTTCTTTAGTTTTATTAAGAGATAGGTTTCTGTGTGAGTGAAAAAGTGTGATATTTGGATCGTTTTGGAAAGATGGTTTGTTTGTGTAACTACAACTTGAAAGAAGGTAAGGAAGGAGAAGATATCTCGCTACAAGCTGAAAAATCTAATAAAGGAACAGCCATCTAATTATTCCTGTTAATTTTTATTTAAACGAGCAGACGGATCACCTGATGGTTAGCAATCAACGCCGCCCATGGACAACTGAAACACCAGAGGTATTACAAGTGCGTTACCGGCCTTTTGGGGATTAGGGATTTAAGGGATTTTGGGTTCGGTGATTGCGGAGATTGTGGAGGGGGTAATTGGGCCTCCAGTAACCCCACTCACACAACGAAACACAACGCAAGCGTTGTTTCACGTCAGTGTTCTGCTCGGCCATGGTAATACTCCGGTCGAGTCGGCCCATTCGTGCCGAAGCATGCCTCTCCCACATATGAATGAAACATAATTACGACATTAATACTTACAGAAAAACCAAATTATCCCTAATTCGTTTGCCAAATCAATTCAATAATACATTGTCCTCCTGCAGCAAAAAGGAGAAGTCTCCTTGATCGACCCGTCGCAGCTGTTGCGTCCGGAGCCGGTGTTCAACGACAAGCCAATAGAGGCGTTCCGTGACTACACCGTGGATGACAGCGACCCTGTCAGGGAGCGCGTACGCAAGACCTATTATGACATGCACACTAATGTCACCGTCGAACTTGTTAAACGTGAGTACTTTTTCGTGGTTAATAGAAAGAATATCTACCTACTTAAATGTCTGTTTAGCCCAGTTAACTAGAAGAGTGCCTGCCTATGCCACACGTTTGCAAAAATATTCCAAACGAACGTCTCCAAACTTCCTGAAAACCTCTATCTTAGGATAAAGCCAAGCATACATTAGGGGACAAGGACAAATGTCCCACGACATGTCGAGCGAAGCCGGCCGATGTCGCTTGACATATGTATATGGCGACAACCTGTGTCGAGGAAGAGGAGACCTGTATCACGCTATGTTGCCAGACATATCGGGCGAAGTCCGACAACGTCGTGCTGCCTCACCCAACGTCACTGACGACACGTGTCGCAGGACATTGGCCCTAGTCTATCCTTGGTATTAGGAAAGAGAAAGCAAAAGCCGTCGTCATGTACCTACCTACTTGGCACTAAAACTTAATGAATTTTTAGGTACCTATAGGTAGTCTACCGACAAAAAATCAATAACTGGTTAGAATACTAGCAGAACTAACAACTAATATTTCAATTAAATCCTTTTTCACCAACAGAGAAGAGAGAAAAATGGTTAAAATTCAACACGTTCAAGAGTACGATCAAGGATGCACTCATCAAGTTGAACGAGCTGGTGGATGAGTCGGACCCTGACACCGACCTGCCAAACATTGTGCACGCCTTCCAAACCGCTGAGAGGATCCGCGTGGACCACCCTGATGATGACTGGTTCCATCTTACTGGACTCATCCATGATTTGGGCAAGGTAAGGAGTAAAGTAAATTTTGTTTGGGATTTCGGAAAGTTTGGAGACCTACTTTTCTTACGTAATACCTACATATTTAAGTTTAACCAAGCTATTTATTGAAGTACTTAATTAAGTTTAACCAGTTTTAATCATTATTTAATGACAGATTTTAGTAAGTGTTTTTTATGATTTACATAAAGGTAAAAGGTGGTATTGTATTAACATTACTAATGTAGGATATTGTTGAATTAATAAACGCGTAGGATATTACATAAGTTTTAAGCCGTTTGTGGGATAATTGGGTAGATTCCAGGGTATCAAAATTAAAAATCTAATTAGTCCGTCAGTTAGATAATGAAAAAATATTAGACACGTATTTTTTTTTATTTTCTCGTATTAAGTTGCAATACTTAGATAAAATGGCGCTAAGTTCAGGAGTGGGAGGTTGTTACATCTTAACGTGCTACAAAATGTGGCACGCTGTGACGTCACACAAAATTTCAAATTAATATATCGTCGAAAGTATTTAATATTGTGAGAAAAGAAAAAATACGCGTCTAAAGTTTTAAATTAACGTACCAGACGGACATTAAAATAAAATTTAGGAAACTACCCTATTCTAAAACTGTAAGTAAACTGTAATCATTAAATGACTGCTCCGGCGTTTGATGACTAATAAAAACCGCCCCGTTCTAATTTATAGCGATTTTACTGACAATCCTGACCGGGGCATATGTACAGACCTAGGTACACTACCTAGATAGATGACTTAGCATGCACAGTTTCATACAAGATATTCAATCGACTATATTACTATAAACACAGCTAATCTACGCGTTATTGATAACCTATTTTATGACTCTAACCTTTTAATAGTCGATTCATTGATACAGACGACCTCTGCTGGAATTTTTTGCGACCTATTCTGCTGATAGCTGGAAAATTGATTCAAATTGTGGAAAATAATGATTAGGAGTCGGAAAATAAGTGTAGGTGAAGATACCTAACTAATGCCGTGTGATTTATTTATCGATAGATTTTGTCAATATTGGTAGCGAATGTAAGTTGTTTCATAACTGACGAACGACTATTTTTCAAAATATCTGTCGAGGCTCTGTCGGGTTATATGAAGTAAAACAGAGGACTGTAGAATTATATAGGTTTATTTCCTCAAACCATAATCAAGACCGATTTTATTATTGCTGACACAAAGAAATGTCAGAAAGCGCGCGGCCGTGAGTTAAATGAAGCCGCCGCCTCTATAGAATAGATGATGGTCATATAGTGTAGTGAGTGATGCGCCGCCAATCACCAGTAAAGTTAGAAAACAACATCTTGCATCCAGGATGTGCTGCTATTTTAAATTATTTTACTTTAATTTTAAAGCATTATTAACCACTAGCTGAGCTCGCGAATTCGTTCGCGTGAAATAGTGATTCACAGCTCCTCTCCCGTAGTTGAAAGCATGATAATATGTAGCTTATATGTTGACCCGATCTGTTAGTAATATTCATGCAAAATTTGCATTAAATCCATACAGCAATTTTTGAGTTCATCCCGGACATACAAACGGACAAAAAGACAAAAATTCTAAAAACCATATTTTTCGTTTCGGTTTCGAATGTAGATCACGCTCAAAGCATTTTTAAAAAAAATATACGATGTACAGTTTTCACTTTGCCACGATTTTATTATTTGTATAGATTTAATCATTCACGCTGAATTTCGATAAAATAAGCTTTGCTTTTGTTCAGGTGATGGCATTCTACGGCGAGCCTCAGTGGTGTGTGGTGGGAGACACATTCCCCGTGGGCTGCAAGTGGGCCAAGTCCATCGTGTATGGACCTGAGAGCTTCAAGGACAACCCTGACACCTACAACCCTAAGTACAAGTGAGTTTCATTTACTGCACCTATTGACCATCGCACGTGATGATAGACAGGCTACTACCTACTACTACTACTACTAGTACTAAGGGGTTGAAGGCTACAAGGTAAGTAGAAGTCTGACCCAGTAGCCTCTATACTTAGAACTAAGATGAAAAACAAAATTTCGCTCAGCTTTGGCACAGAGACAGGTCAGCCAGGGCTTCAAGCCTAATTTTAGAGGGCGCCCTAGACGGACATATACTGACCAGATTTGCGATATATTAAAGAAGGGCCGAAAGTACACTTAACTGACAAGCATGCATGGTTGATGACTATTGATGAAGCGAAAAAGGTATGTAGAAATCGTAGTAATTGGCGTTCCATAGTCTCTGTCTACCCCCATGGGAGACAGCCGTGAAGTTATGTACGTAAGTACTTATGTAATTTTTATTGAAGATTTGAATTTTTTTGATAACTAATATTGAATATTAGGAAACGATGTTAGGAAGAATAGTAGGTCCATATTAATATGGCTGGTATGATGTGAAGTACAGAGGCCATCAGGTCAATCTACTTCGAGTTGCTATAAAGATTTTCAACTTTACAAATCCAATATCTACATTTTCTAATTATAACCATTCTGTCGTTTAGCACTGAATACGGCATGTACGAGCCACACTGCGGACTGGACAACCTGCTGATATCCTGGAGCCACGACGAGTACATGTACCAGTTCCTTAAACATAACAAGAGCAAGATCCCAGAGAAGGGACTGTACATGATCAGGTAAAACGCATGCATAGATCCATATGTCAGAGAAATGATTAAATATAATCAACATCTCAACAATGACCGCCTCGTTGGCCGACTTGTAAAATCAGTAATAGCATGAAGTCTGGAATATATGGCAATAGGCTCACCCCCTATTACATGGGACTCATAACATAAATAGTGAAAAGTGGACGTTACATTCTACAGTGTCGTAATGTGCACTTTTGCCTACCCCTTCGGGGATAAAAGGCGTGTATTATGTTAGTTATGATATTAGGAATTTACCAGTATTTAAGAATCAAATGATGAGTGGAAGTATTTACTTTCAGATATCACTCCCTGTACCCGTGGCACGCGGGCGGCGACTACCGCCACCTTACCAACGAGAAGGATGAACAGATCCTGCAATGGGTGCTGGAGTTCAAGTGAGTATCTCTCAATTGCACTGCACGGCTAGTGCGGTGGCTGCGTAACTGGCTACCGCGAGACGTGTCGCGGGTTCGATTCCCGCACGGAGCAACTCTTTGTGTGATCCACAGGTTGTTGTTCCGGGTCTGGGTGTCATGTGTATGTGAACTTGTATGTTTGTAAACGCACCCACGATATAGGAGAAAATCCTAGAGTGAGCCAACGTTTTATTTAAAAAAGAAAAAAAAATTCTCACTACTTTTTTTTCATTTTTTCATTTCTCAATCTAAGTACATAAATCTAAGGTAGTTGCAGAAAATGTATACAGTTTTATTTTTCTGCTCTGATTATTTTTAACAAATATATCATCTGGAAGAGCTCCAATGAATAATCTTGGTCAATGATATAAAATATGTTTAAGTACTGGCACTTATAACATACTTACCTATTCCTTTTTCAAAATATGTTTAACAATTTTTTTAAAATTTCTATTAAGTTTTATGTTCCTTTTATGTTCCTTTAACATAAGAATATTGAATTCGTAAGTAGTAGTTTCTTTAATTTAGTCCACTAATATTTTATTTTCCCGCCACTTTAGCGCTTGTCTACAGAGAGAGAGTAGAAATCAAAATGTATGGGGATGACACTGACAAGTGTCAAAAATTACGTCAATTTCATATAATTTGGTTGGAAGGCAGAGACTTTCGTTGGTAGCGGTGATGCAGTGCTAGCCAAATGCCATTTAGCGCTTGTCTACATGTAGAATAGAAAACCAAATTATATGGAATTGACGTAAATTTTGACACTTGTCAGTGTCATCCCCATACATTTTGATATCTACTCTCACTGTAGACAAGCGCTAAAGTGGCTTTTGGCTAGAGGCCAAGGTTACGCACGTGCTTTTGTCGTTTTCCTACGTTTGTTGACTATTTTAGTGATCCCCCTCAGTGTGAACTGAAATCCTTTAAGTTCTGTGTTGTCGTGTTGTCTAATTAACTGTGTCCGTAAGTTTTATCTCGGTATTGGTAGTTTTAAGTAAGTTTTTCCACTTGTTTCCTCTTCCTACTTTTTATCCCCAAAATGGACGAAGAGAAGCCACCCGATCCTCCCGATAAATCGCCGGAATACGAAACTGAAACAATTCTGACCATTACCCTTCCTCCCAATACAACACCAAATTTTGAAAGAATGGACTTAGAACCCACCAACAGTCGGAAACGACATGCAGGCTCCCCTCCTATCTCCATGAATAATCCTCCAAAACTGGCGAAAAGTGTATACGGTAGACAGTGTTATACGGCCAGGGATAACCCTCCGTATGTAGTATATGTGTCCCTTAAGGACGCTCAGACGTCTGGCACCACACTACACCCGGTTAAGTTCGGAATGTTTCTTATGAAACAAAACATTAACAATGTTAAGATTGGTGGTGTTAAACGTCTGGGAAGGAACCGAGTTTCGGTTGAGTTTGTGTCGCACCAGGATGCAAATAGTTTCTTGGTGAATAGTATGGTGGCTCAAAGCTATGTTACCTCAATCCCTCAATTCAATGTAACACGAATGGGTATTGTGAGGGACGTCCCTGTTGAATGGACAGAGGACGAAATCATTGGAAATATCAAGGTTCCCAACGGCTGTGGGGCTGTGATAAAGGCAAGGAGGATGAATCGCAGAATCACTTCAATAAACGGTACCGAATGGAAACCTACCCAAACTGTAGTGCTTACCTTTGATGGCCAAATCCTACCCAAAAAGGTATTTTGCTTTTACTCAGCACTTCCGGTAGAACTGTATGCATATCCTACCATACAATGCTATCACTGTTGTCGTTTTGGACACACCCGCACTCTCTGCCGCTCGAAGCCGCGTTGTTTCAGGTGTGGACAGGACCATCCAGGTGATGGATGCCAGACTTCAGCCGATACTGCCCATTGTATTAATTGCAATGGCAACCACTTTGCCAATGACAAAGCATGCCCTGAATTAGGACGCCAGAAGAGCATCAAAGCTTTGATGGCGGAAAAATCTATTTCGTATATGGAAGCAAGCCAGGTTTTCCCTATGGTTAAAAGGTCTTATGCTGAGGTTTCAAGGTCAGTCAACCTTATAGATTCGTCTCCTAATAAATCACCATCCCAACAAAGAGTGTCCTATAAAAAAACAGTTCATCTCAAACCTAAGTCACATGCCCCCCTTTCCCCCAGCTATGATAAGAAGGCCCATCAGGCCCTTATCCAGGACTACTCTTACTCCCCATCCAAAAATGGTTGCGCTTTCCCTATGGAATCCGGAACCAACATTCGTAGCTCCAAAAACATACTAAATATAGTTTCTGATATGCTCATGGCAGTTCTATCAAACCCTGCCCAAAATGTACCTGACCACGTGGCACACAAGCTTTCTACAATTTTAGACTATATTTGTAAAATTCCTACCTCTAACACTGCTTCAGTGGAACGTGAGGAGTACTCTTCCCAGGAAGAGTGACTTACTCCACTTAATTAACAAATTTAAACCATCGATTTGTGGCATTGCTGAGACATGGCTTCGACCGAATATTAATTTCGGGATCCCGTGTTTCAGTGTTGTCAGACATGACAGATCTGATGGTTATGGAGGTTGTGCTTTGTTAGTTAATAACAAAGTGCCCTTCACCCAGATCCCTCTACCCTTCGTTGGCGATGACATCAATGTTGTCGCTGTTAAGGCTGAGGACATAAATATATTTGTATTTTATATTGCACACCCTCATGTTAATCACATTAGGTTAATTAAAAATCTGCTATCCGTGGTAAGTGGCCCATTGCTTGTAATGGGTGACTTCAACTGCCACCATTATAGATGGGGTTCAGATATATGCGATCTAATGGGTAATGAATTAGTGGAGATGCTGGACGAGCTCGACTTGTGTGTCATTAATGATGGCAGCCCTACTCGTAGGTCTGCATTTGGTCAAAGAAACAGCTGTGTTGACTTGACCTTCTGCTCGCCTGCTATGGCTGGCATGCTAAACTGGAGTTGTTTAAATTTGTCCTATGGTAGTGACCACTATCCCATCGTAATTAAAAATCCTTCAAAATCCATTCCAGATAAACCCCTTCCCCCCCTATTAAAATATCGTTTAAATTCAGCAGACTGGGATCTGTTTTCAAAACTATTAGACCACCGTATTTCTTCCCTTCCACCAGTAAATACCGAGAATGCTTTGGAGTGCTTTTCTAAATTTTCGGACCTGATAGCTTCTACAGCTGAAGACTGCTTTCCGGTGAAAAGCACACCAAAAAGCAAAATTCCTTCTCCTCCATGGTGGGATAGTGAATGCACTGCCATGATAAGAGCTAGGAATGAAGCTGAAAAGACATATAACCAAGATATGAACCTGGAAAATCTCCTAAGTTTCAAGCGAATTTTGGCTGAGTCAAGAAAATTGTTCAAAAAAAAGAAAAGACAGGGGTGGCAGAGATTTTGTGGTTCCCTAAGCCCATCCACACCAATATCCACAGTTTGGCAGAGAGTAAAAAATTTTAGGAACTCCACCAAACCTCCCTCTATCTCCACTCTACCCGAATGTCTGAATAACAATTTTCTTAATAGTATTGCCCCAACATACGTTCCTAGTGCAGATGAATGCTGCCTGAGTTCCTATGAGATCGAGAGACCCGAGATTCATGATCCACTCGATTTGGAGTTTTCATTTGAAGAGCTCCAAACTGTGCTCAATCATGTAAAGGACTCGGCACCAGGAATTGATGGGTTCCCCTACTCCTTCTTAACTAAGGCAGGAACCAAAACGAAACAGTACTACCTTGACTTAGTCAATTTTTGCTTTACGTCAGGCTATATTCCTCCTACATGGAAGGTTCAGGTTATTATGCCGCTGTTAAAACCTGGCAAAGATCCTGGTGACCATTCGTCGTACAGACCTATTGCCTTATCGTCCATACTCATTAAATCATTTGAACACCTCATCAAAAACCGACTTGAATGGTTGGTAGAAAGCCAGAGGCTGCTTCCGGCGACTCAGTTCGGCTTCAGAAAGGGTCTGGGTACGGCTGACAGTGTAGGTACTCTCACGTCAGCCATCCGACTGGCCCTTAGCAGGCAGGAGTCGTTGGTCGCGGTTTTCTTGGACATCTCAGCGGCCTATGATTCTGTCCTCTTACCCCTTCTCAGGCAGAAACTGCAACAGCTGAGAATTCCGAGTAGAATCTGCCGAATAATAGGCTGCATCCTTTCCGATCGTACCCTCCAATTGAGAACTCCTGAGGATAACCCAGTACAGAGGTCCTCCTGGAAAGGTTTACCTCAGGGGTCAGTCCTTAGTCCCATCCTTTATAATATTTATACATATGACCTCCCCTCCTGTTTAAATTTTAACTGTAATGTCCTTCAGTATGCTGACGATATCGCACTAATGGTTACCAACAACTCTATAACAGACGCTGCTCACTCCATCAATGTCTCTTTGGCCTCATTAAACCAATGGCTACTTAATCACGGGTTATCTTTAAGCGCCCCAAAAAGCTCAGCTATCATTTTTACACGCAAACGACGCACTCCAGATGTTTGTATAGAGATAGACGGTCAGGCTATTCCGATCAAAAGCAGTGCTAGATTTTTGGGAGTTTATCTCGACTCAAAGATGTCTGGGGTGGACCACATAAACACCGTAGTTGGAAGGTGTGAACGCTCAGTATCCCTACTCAGAGCCTTGGCCGGGGTTTGGTGGGGTGCCCACTCTTACTCATTGAAGCTCATCTACAATGCATTGGTCAGAAGCGTAATGGACTATTGTTGCTTCCTTATTGTTCCTTGCAATAAGGGTGCATTAAAAAAACTAGACTCCATTCAGGCCAAATGCCTTAGAATAATTATTGGAGCTATGAAATCATCCCCCATAAATGCTCTTCAGGTTGAATGTGTAGAGCCTCCCCTCAACCTTCGAAGACAATACCTGGCAGACCGTTTCATTTCAAAAGTTCTCTCCCTCTCATCACATCCTCTGATTCCTATCCTGGAACAAATCCACTGTTCTTTTAGCTCCTCTTCCTATTGGAATAATAAACCCGTCCCTCCCGTGATCGTCAGGTACAGAGAACTTAAAAACCTCTCTGCACCTATCAGTCAATATCCTGTACTCCCGGTTTTCTCTTCCATATATGAGATTATTCACTTCAGGCCAAAACTGATTCTAGGACTTGGCATCTCGAAATACTCGGCGAATGCTGCGGGTGAGTTTGGACGCGCCTTGAGCAGATTCTGGAAGGGCTGGAATGTTTTCTTCACGGACGCGTCTAAACTATCCCGAAACGGATGTACAGGAGTAGCAGCGTACTTCCAAAATTCGAAGATCGCCCTTCTTTCCAAGTGCCCCCCGGAAACATCTGTCTTCACGGGAGAATGCATTGGCATTCTGGAATCAGTCAAATTTATTAGAGCGCACAACCTTAAGAATTCCATTATTTTCTCTGACTCCCGAAGTAGCCTACAATCTCTCAACCAAGACCAGCTCCACACCCGAACCCATAGCAGTTTGGTTGTAGAGATAAAGGCGCTTCTTTTTTCCTGTTACAATGATGGCATAAATATCGAGATCGCTTGGATCCCTGGCCACTCTGGCATACGTGGTAACGAGTGTGCGGATTCGTTAGCCAAATTTGCGGCCTCGAACGATGTCGAACGTCAACACTACGTTGTGTACGGATATGACATACGTGCCGATACCAAACACAAGCTGTTTGAGTCATGGACTGCAGTGTGGGTGGAATCTTCCAAGCATAAAGGATCCTACTATGCGGGTGTCCAGCCGGGCATCCGACGGAGGTCTTGGTTTTCCAAGTACCCTAAGCTTACCCGTCACACTATTTCATCCTTGTGTAGGCTCAGACTCGGCCACTGTAGTAGTCCGGTCTTCCTCAACAAGATCCGCGTTCGTGACAGCTCACTGTGCGAATGCGGCCTTGACGAGGGAACTTTAGATCATATATTTTTTTCATGCCCCTTAAACTCCCAATCCTTTGACCTCTATCAAAAACTCCCCAGTATCCAAATCCCGCTTCCAATCAGTTTCCACCTCCTTTTTACTCACTTTTCCCATAAATTAATCCATTATTTAAGTAAGTTTATCAATGAAAATGGGATTAAGATATGACGGTGTTCAATAATGTAAATGATGTACATACTTCTCTGTTTGTATTGTGTATGTCCCCTCAACTATTTTCTACACCTCTGTATATATACAGTAAAATAGTTGATAATAATTATATGTTCACTAACCCAAATGTTTTGTCCTTTCAGCTACTAACAACTAAAAACTACCATAAAGTTAATTTCGACGGTTCATTAAACTACCGTCATCACTGGACACTGGCAGTATAGTCGACAAGATCACTTTGGAGACTCGTTTGCCAAAGAGAGAAAAAAAAAAAAAAATAAAATAATTTGGTTGTCTATTCCACATGTAGACAAGCGCTAAATGGTATTTGGCTACATACAATAAATTATTATTTATTTATTTAACTGTAACCTATTTAAATAAATAAATAAATACCTAAAAGTAAATATGACCTTGTATGTATGCATGAGTCAAAGTAATTTGGCAATTTTCTTTTGTTATTAGCAAATATGACCTTTATACCAAGAGCACTAAGGTCCCTGACATCGAGGCTCTGTGGCCCTACTACGAGAAGCTGATCGACAAGTACATCCCAGGAGTTTGCGAGTGGTAGACTGGAGCGCGTCATCAGCAAGACATTTTTGCATAATGACATTATAATTTACCTTATGTACCAAATATTTGATATTGATTTACAATAACCCTATTTATTTTCATATCATTAAAGTCGATTTTATTTTAATAACAAAATCGTTTACATACCTACACATTTTAATTTGTTTACCCAGAACATTATTTTTCCCATAGACACCACCAATCTGTAGGTACATTATACTTTACACACATTCGCCGAATACCGGAATATCGAAACGCTTCTCAATGTTTAAACTGTCAAACACCAAGCGGTCACCGGTGACCGCGACCTATTGTTCTTTAATTGTGTCTATAAAACCGGTACTCGACGAGTTAAGGCGTTTAAGTAAAGTTCTTATGTCATAACATCACGCCTTTTATCCCCGAAGGGTTAGGAAGAGGTGCACATTATGGCACTTAATGCCTCTGTACAATGTAACACCCACTTTTCACTATTTATGTTATAAGTCCCATGTAATAGGAGGTGAGCCTATTGCCATAGGCATATATCGGGCACATTTCCAGACTCCGTGCTACTACTGGGGTGTTTTTTATTAAAACTCATTATAGTACTTTGCCCGACTCGGGAATCGAACCCGAGATCCCCTTGTCCGGCAGTTGCACTTGCGACCACTCGGCCAACGAGGTAGTCTGTTCTGAAGTAAAGTTCTGTCACTACAAATTCTTTGCATAATGACAGAGATAGCACGATATATTTAATTGCAACTTAAAATTCAGTTGGCATTCAGTATTCGGGCGATAGTCTTGTAAATAACATCTAGTTACCTACATAACCTAACATTTTTGCCAAAACAATAGTTGTTATCGCCGACTGTTATTTAACCATGTAAATATTTAATATTTTTATTATAACTACACAGTTATCTTCTTAGTAATTAATATAAAACTAATTATGTAGGTATGTGTTTTATTTATAATTATTTTAAAATTGAGATTTCTTATTACTACTAAACTGCTTGCTTCTTTGCGTCGTACAGTCGGGTGAAAGAAGATTGGTGCAGCGAATAGTCGAATCGGCTGTTCTTCAGTTTCCAAAGTCAGATACCCTGGCTGAGAATTTTTTTTGGCATAGCCCGGTAAACGAGCTGACGGATCACCTGATGGTAAGCAATCACCGCCGCCCATGGACACCTGGAACACCAAAGGCGTTACAAGTGCGTTACTGGCTTTTTGGGGATTAGGAGTTTGAGGATTGTTGAGGATTCAGAGATTGGGGAGATAGGGGAAGGGGAGGGGGAGGGGGTAATTGGGCCTCCCGTAACCTCACTCACACGACGAAACACAACGCAAGCGTTGTTTCACGTCGGTTTTCTTTGAGGTCGTGGTATCACTCCGGTCCAGCCGGTCCATTCGTGTCGAATGTGATTGTAATAAATTTAATTGTTTTATCCATCAAAAATGTAATATTGCGTTATGCATAACTGTATTTGTGTTAAAACTTAAGTTAAGACGAAGGTGTTTAAGAAAATATGCATAAAAGTCTATTTTTGAGATCCCAACGGTCAAGTTAAAGCATTTATTTCAATTAAATCATAATTTGGTACTTTTGAAACGACAACAAATACAAAATAAATAATAGTCTGTCCGTCTGTGAAGCTAGGTGAAAGTAAGTCCCAAATGAACCTGACACCTTTGCATCTGCGCATAATATGTCTTAGTACCCTACATTTGTATTTATACCATCATCAACAATTGCTCCTATAAGTATAGTATCGTTCTATTTATATACAAAATGGTCGTCTTCCTCGTTTATTTCTCTAACATTCAGATTAAGGTCAAGCTGCGCACGCGCAAGGGCGTCTTCACGTGATCTCTTCAATTGCAGTGTCGCGTGATTTGCTATTCTCATGTTGATCAATAAAAATGTTCTTATTATTGTCGATTATTATGTTTCATTAGGAATATAATGTACGCAAATAGGTCCAGTACAAATGCATCAAGGTTTGTTGCAAATAGAAAAAAAAGAAGATGTATGGTTACAAAGATAAAGATATATTTATTTCAAAGTACATGGTACACTGAGATCTTACATTAAACATAGAAACACATATACTACCATTTCTGGTGTAGAAATATTAAATAAGTTAAGTCCATGCAAATCTTTGACATTACAATAATCTTCATTTGATACAATTTATTCATTAAACTAAATTCATTGAATAAGTTATGCGCGATACCCCTATAGGTTGAACCGATTTGGCTGCGGTTTTCAGAAAACAGTTTTCAGTTATACTTAAGATAAGGTTCTAGTATATTAATTAACCGACTTCAAAAGAGAGGGGGTATGAAATCGGTTTTTTAACCGTACTTTATAAATAATTAAATGAGAATTTCGATTAACCTCTCATATGTCAGAGCGTAGATCTACGCGAGACACAATGCGTTTTATATTGTGTATCATATATTGACAGACAAGAGATTAAAAAAACTTAAGTCTGTAAGATTATTTTTTTATGGTTTAAAGTCACAAACTTGCTGACGGTTCGCCCGATGGCGCCGGCGCCGCCCGTGGACACCTGCAATGCCAGAGCAGTTACAAATGCGTTGCTGGCCTTTAGGGGGTTAGGAATGGGAGAGCGAGACAGTCATAATTATATCCTACCTAAGTTCTTAATATTATGTTTACCTATCATATATCACGCCTTTTATCCCCGGAGGGGTACGCAGAGGTGCACACTACGGTACTTAATTCCACTGTACAATGTAACACCCACATTTCACTATTTATGTTATGAGTCCCGTGTAATAGGGGATAAGCCTATTGCCATATACCGGGAACAATTACAGATTTCGTGCTACTACCGAGATTTTCTTAAAAATGCAGCAATGCTTTGCGCGACTTGGGAATCGAACCCGAGACCCCTTGTGACCATTCGGCCAACGAGGCAGTATATATTTATCAAATAAAGATAATCTTTGATCAAAATAGAACGCAATTGTCAAACTACGTCTTACAGTTTACACACAGACAGACACTATTATATCAATAACAATAACTAAAGTGCAGGAAACTACAATAAAGCTTTGACTAATAAAACTGTTACAAATCTTTTTTTTACAACCTCCATTGACGGCTTTGTTAGATGTGTTGAAGATTTGAAGGGAATAACGCAAGCAATGTATGCTGTGTACTGCGATATTGTAGTGTAAGTTGCAAACACGTGTCTGACACATATACTAAGGTCTTGTTCTAAATCAATTGGCTTTTGTAACCGACTTAGGTAAAGACTTAGGTTATGGTTTTTCTGTATTTGTTTCTGTCAGTTGTTAATTTCATTAGTCCTTATTGTTTTTTTTGCCCCATACTTACTAGGATTTTCTCCTGTGTCGTAGGTGCGTTTACAAACATACAAGTTCACATACACATGACACCCAGACCCGAAACAACAATCTGTGGATGAGAGTTGTTCTGTGTGGGAATCAATCCCGCGACATGTTGCGTGGCAGTCAGTTACCCACCACGCCACCCGTGCAGTCGTATTTACGTAAAAATCTAACGAATAATAATTAGCCAGTGTCTAAGGAATTGGGTGCCTAATTTTATACGATTTTCCCTTATTCGTATTTCCCAAGTAAACATAGACTGTAGGTAGTCTTATTTTTTACTATTATCAGAAATAGACAGTTCCTAAGTGTCAAGCACAAATAACTATCGCATTCTGATTGGCCGGCTCCAGCGAACCAACCAATGAGCGTCAAACGCGCTCGATACTATTACGTTACGAATGCGACAGTTATTCGTGCTTGGCACCTGATAGAGATAGATCATTCATCATGTCAAATAAACACATAGATGTAGGTACCTATGTACTTACACAAAATTATTATCCAAAGAAAGTGTATTTTTTTCTTTTATATTTTCTGATTTATGTCGTTGCGGGAACCAAGACAGTTATTCATGGCCTTAGACGCGCCGGACTTCAGTGTTCCGGTGGTTCCATGGTTGTGTCGATTGTAGATCCTGGCTTATAGGAGTTGCAGCGGTTTTGGGAGGATATTTTTAAGTGGGAAAAACATCGAATGACTGCTCCCGCCTGGGTGAGGCGGGAGGGAGTGTCAGACTCTTACTGACTAAAAACCACCCCTCCTGCACTTCGAGTCGGAGCCCCGGTAACCCGTTAGGTTCTCTGCAGGTCCGTATCGGCATCAGCCCTATTGGGTCCCATCCGTGGTGGTCTGATGGCTCTTTGAGGCGTGCACAGAATGCGGCGGGCTTGTTGCAAAAAAAATCCATAGAATATTTAACAATATATAATCTCCAAAATCTTAATTTGCAAACCACCCCCGTAGCAGGAAAAATCAGGAGTATATCTCTCTAGTATTTCATGGTTACAACATACCCATCACGCATAATACATAAAACAACCAAATCAAACGAAATAATAAAAAAAATCTGCAATAATCACGACCGTCATAAACAATTAACAAAAAAACTACATCGTCATCGCAGGATAAGTGATATTTTTGCGCGTTTTTGTATTATTACGTTTATGTTTGATAACCTGACATAATCCTTGACCTCTCCGTTATCAATCCACATTTAAATTGTTCAAACTGATCTTTAGCATTAGTAGTGCTCATCTGTCTCCGGCCTAAACATGAAACCGAAACCAGTAAGTCGATTGCAATAATTAATTTCATTCACGAAAGCAAATAAACAAATAAATGTCTAGATTAATTGGGCACTTACCTTAATCAAAAATAAATTATTTTGACTGTTCAATACAATAAAAATATTAAAAAATGATCACACTTTCATTGATTGATTTTATGACCAACTTAATTTTAGTATTATTCTAGCAATTTTTTTAGAAATAAGTATGTGGTTTGACGCTAAAAACGTGACGTCACAATACACAATCTCGTACAAATTCATAGAAAACTTTCGTTTTTGACAGTTCGAAAAAAGTATTGATTTTGACTAGTTGGCAAGTACCCAATTGATTTTGTTGATGTTTGTGCCAAACTAGAAACGGAGCCACTATCGTTTTTGTTTTCATTTTATCGAACCCTTTATAACTTTAAAAAAAATGTTCCTTTTACAAACGAAACTGTTCTCATTTTAAAGTTAACTAAATTATACGACATACGTTAGATACCATTTAATTAAATACTTTTATCTGAAAATATAAAGAAATGAAAAATGAAACGCTAATGGTTCCATTTATATGCAACCCAAGTGTAGTTTGAATATTGTGGTCTATTTTTTAAGTTCTGTTAGCAAGATGTTTTTTTTTTAAAGAATGTTGTTGTTGATGGTAGGTATGTACCATGTTAAATGAAGGTAGCTCGCAGATTTTTGACAGTATACAATTACAAAATTTAAAAAGAAATTCTCAGCATAATTTAGATTTTTTGTTAATTTTACATAATATAGGTTTTTGATGTGACAATGTTCTAGCTAGACTTTAGGTAAGTTTCCGTCAATTTTCGCGTCTACCTACCTACACATTAGATGTTTCAATCGTGTCGTAGCACATTTTGTTGCATATTAAATTACTTTTTATTTATTTTGAAAACAAAACTAAATATTTGTAAATCTACGTCACCTAGCCACATGAAGTTGACGAAATTAATTAGTGCAAATGACGGGTCATTTGTGTCGTAGAAATAGATATAATTAGAAAACAAGACCTTTTGACGATAAATATTGATCTTTTATTGCTACCGACCTCTAATCTAACGGTTAAGGTTAAATTCATAAGTATATCTATAATTGGGTACTTTCTTTAATCAAAAATAAATTATTTCGACTATTCAATACCATAAAACATTAAAAAAACACATTTTCATTAATTGATTTTATGACCAACTTTATTCTAGTATTATGCCAGCAAATTTTTAAGAAATAAGAGCCTAAATAGTCGTGACGTCACAACACACAATCTCGTACACAATTCATAATAAACAGTCATTTTTGACAGTTCGAAAAAAGTATTGAATGTGACTAGTTGGCAAGTACGTTACCCAATCTCACACAATAACTCCACTTAAAACTCAATTTTTTACTAAAATACTGCGAGTTAATTTTAAACCTGTCACTAAATAATTGTGATGATGATAAATGACCACTGATTGGCCTATTTTGTCTGTCATGTTTTAAAAAACTAAACGATTTTGACAATTTTTGTCGAGCGGCAAAAATCATCACTGAGTCTTTAGTATAGGTAGGTATGTTTGTAGCATGTACCTTTTTTAAACTGTCAAACACCAAGCGGTCACCGGTGACCGCGACCTATTGTTCTTTAATTGTGTCTATAAAACCGGTACTCGACGAGTTAAGGGGGGAAATCATTCCCGTATTTTTATCCCCGAAGGGGTATGCAGACGTGCACTGTGTATTTATATGTGTACGTGTATTTATGTTTTGAGTCCCATGTAATAGGGGGTGAGCCTATTGCCATATACCAGACACAATTCCAGAATCCGTGCTTCTGCTGAGAATTAAAAAAAAACAATTAAGTATTATATTCGTTCAGTCCACTTATAAATAAATTATTATTAATTCAATAATCAGTCCACGGCAATCTTTGCAAGGGATACAATAAAATAGATTATATAGCTACGGAAAACACAAAATAGGTATAAAAGTAATAAATACGACAGTTAACGTGTATTCTATTAATTACATCAGGCTGCTTACTCTTGAAACCAATCTCAATGTCAATGCAATTTCAATCCAATAAAATCTCAATAATTATTCGATGTCAAAACTATACATATCGTACTATACATAGCTGTTAAAATAGCATTCTTAGTACCTACGGAATATAAAGTCAAACTCAATACCATTTAGATTATTAAATATCCACGCGATAAGGATGCAATGGGCGCTAGTGTTTGCAACTCAAGAGTACCTACGAAATTTCACAATACCAATGTCGATCGATCGGAATTGGATTCAAGAGTAAGCCCCAGGTCTATTATAAAGATATTCTATGTCTTTGCTCATGAAATGGGGGCAAACATTATCCACGTTTCCTTTCCTTGATCTTTTGTTTCATATTATTTATATATACATCCAATCCTACTAATATTATAAATGCGAAAGTTTGTGAGGATGTATGTGTTGTGTGTGTGTTTGTTACTTTCACCGGCTGAAGAGATTGAGATGAAATTTGGAATAGTGGTAGATTAGTTATGACTTAGTATAACACAAACACATAGGCAAAAGCTATACAAAACCTGGTATAATCGAATATTTCAAGAAATGAATGTTCTATCTTAACATGGACTTAACTACCTTTTAAAATTATACTTAAATGCCATTACACAAAAAAATAAACAACAGGTACCTAGATACCAAAAAGAAACAACAATTCACCCAAAAAAAGACCACAAACAAAACTAAAACAATAAATAAAGCAAAAAAAAACATGGCAAAAAAATTAACCCATGTATAAACAGCCTAGGTTTACAACACTGAAACGAGAAGGGAAGCGATTCATTATATTGCGTGCGCCCAAACGGAGCACATCTTAGTTCACTTTAAAAACACCACGTTATAAAGATTTTAAATGAAATATACGTAGTAATTTCAAAATAACGTCTCAAACCTGGATTGTAGTCAGAATAATCCATTTTACGTACTAAAGGAGTTAATAAAATGAAGATCCTACTTCTCCAGGATTCTCCGGTCTCCATGATCGACCCTTCTCTCCTTCTGAGGCCAGAGAAGGTCTACGATGGGAAACCAGTCGAAGCATTCAGAAATTATGACATTGATGAGAGCGACCCCATCAAAGAACGTGTAAGGAGGACTTATTACGAAATGCATACGAAACAAACTGTGGATTTTATTAAAGGTGAGTTGCATTATTTATTTTTATTTTGTTGTGTATTTTTTTAAGGGGGGAAAATCATCGAATGACTGCTTCCGCCTGGGTGAAGCGGGAGGGAGTGTCAGACTCTTACTGACTAAAAACCACCCCGTTCCTACTCCTGCACTTCGAGCCGGACCCCGGTAACCCGGCAGATCACCATACACTAATCTAATTATTATGTTTATCGGCTTATTTCCGTAATTTTTTACGAGTTCTCTGCGGCACCGTATCTATCGGCATCAGCCCTAATAGGCCCCACCTGTGATGGTCCGATGACTCTATGAGAGACGTGCGGCGGATCTGGCTCTGGTCGGGCGGCGAGCTACCCATGCTCGCTATCCGCAGGCCCGTGCTTACGGTGGCCGGAGATCGTCCCGCGATCCCCGTCGTCCGGAGTGTCCTTCGCGACGGCTGGGTTGTGAGGAGGCAGGCCTCATGCGCCCTGCTTTCTTCTTGGCTAGCATGAATGCTTCGCAAAAGGAGGAGACGGCATCCCATTCCCCCTCGCTTTACATCATAACCCTGAATAGGGCCGGACACAAGAGGTCGCCGTCGATTTTGTTGTAGTTAGTGTTATATTGGTGAGAATAATAAAGTTTAGCAAGTAACTTTGGGTTAAATTCTCAAGTGAAATATCTTGATTTTCTATCGTTGAATTTTGTTTAGTAGCGTGAAGTTAACATTTGCTTGCTGTTTATAGATGTAGCAATTAAGTAAGTATTAGGTATATTTAGGTAATTAATTAGGCACGCTAAATTATGTAAGATAAGGGGCCAAGCATTTTAGTAATAAAATATCTCGCCTCTCATTAGAATAAGACGACAGCTAATTTTTAAATTAACGGAATCAAACAACGTACAAATTTGGGTACCTATTCCCAATTTTACTTTTATTAAACCCAAACTCCCCAATTCGGAATTTGGGTTGTTTTCGACAATTCTCAAATTCCTAATCCTCAAAATGCTGGCAACACGCTTGTAACATCTCTGGTGTTTCGGGTGTCCGTGGGCGGTACTGATCGCTTCCCAGATTACTGATCATCAGGTGATCCGTCTGCTCGTTGACCGGCTTATTACATAAAAAAAATCCACAGGTCGCATGGAAGACTGGCTGCAATTCAACCACTTCAAGAGTACGATCAAGGATGCTCTCATCAAGTTGAACGAGCTGGTGGATGAGTCGGACCCTGACACCGACCTGCCAAACATTGTGCACGCCTTCCAAACTGCTGAGAGGATCCGGGAGGAGCATCCTAATGATGACTGGTTCCATCTTATTGGATTAATTCATGATCTTGGAAAGGTATGGGCTTTTCTCTTGAGTTCACAGTTTTACTGTAGTATTATAATTTTGCTTTTAAATTGTTGCGCAAAACCGAATTTGAAATTGCAATAAGATCGTTAATGAGAAAAAACTATTACCTTCCTACAGTTGGGTAAATATATCTTTGATCTAATTTTACGTAGGAAAAATCTTGTTAAAACCGTGGTCATTCACCATTTTAGGTCAATTGGCCAAGAATCTTAATGATCATACCATTAGAATGATCGCAGAAACAATTTGCGCCAACCAAATTACACACAATAATGATATGACCAATTACTCTAATTAAAAAAAAAGCATTCAAAGTTCGAGGCTTGTCGTGGGGTAATTCTATGTTGTTTGTGAGAACTTATCTTGTAATTTTTTTATAGTTAAATGGTGTACAGGTAAATGTATACGGTATAGTACAAATAAATGGGTACTTACGGTGAGAACATTAATCATTTTCCCGATTGTCCAGGTGATGGCATTCTACGGCGAGCCTCAGTGGTGTGTGGTGGGAGACACATTCCCCGTGGGCTGCAAGTGGGGGAAATCGATCGTTTATGGAGATGACAGCTTCAAGGACAACCCTGACACATACAACCCCAAGTACAAGTCAGTAGAAGATCATGCATAATTTGATTTCATAATGATAAATCTTGCAATAGAATTTATATGAATAATTAAGCAATAATTAGGTGCTTTGTAGGACTACCAAGTCGCTCGCAATTAATTCATTACTAGCTTCTGCCTGCTACATCGCACGCGCAATCCCGTTTTCTCTCGTTCCCGTAGGATTTTCTGACTTTTTCTGTCCTAATAATAACAAATACAACCAAAAAAGAATTAGTGAAATCTCTCCGTCCAACCATTCGCGCGTGATGCCGTGACCAATGGAAAAGGGATTCATTTTTATATCTTATATACTATTATATAAAGCGGAAGAATCTGTTTTTTGTTTGTTTGTTTATTTGAACGCGCTAATCTCCGTAACTACAGGTCTGATTTGAATAATTCTTTTTGTGTTGGATAGTGCATTTATCGAGGATGGCTATAGGCAGTGGCGTGCAGTCCATATAGGCGAAAAGGCTTTGCCGGACTTATAAATATCGTGAATATATAACATACATAAAATGTACAAACGCGTTTATTAAGATTCAATAATATAATAAAAGTTTGTAAAAAACGGCTAACATATACATTCACATATACATTCACAAATATACATTCACATATACTATACACGGACCGCACGCCTTTGTAAAGCAATGAATGCGCCCCGTACGCACCACGCATGCGCAGCTATTCCTTAAATCTTGGTTGCCAGTTGTGACGTCACAAAAGTAATGTACTAAAAGTATGCACCGCGCATGCGTGAAGATCACGACCATAGTCACGTGACAGAATAACCATTCATAATTATATTACACGATTCCTGTTGATTGACAAAATTTTGGCAACTAAAAAATTAGAGGATCGTTCGTTCATTACTTGGAAAACGATCGTATTTTATTAAGAATTCTAAAACAATAAAACAGCAACAAGTTATTGTATTTTTAAAAACAATTAAATCATAAAAGGTTTTAAATTGATACAATCTGTATATCGTAAAGTACTGATGAATGGAGTACACCAGCGCCATCTATTGAATTTTTTGTTGAAACTTCTGAACTCGTTCGGTATAATGCGAATGTATTTTTATAAATGCGTATTTAACAAATATGTTTCAAGTGTTTTAATTAAAGCTTAACATTTTTACGCGTTATCGGTTTATAGAAATTTTAATCGAGGAGTTGACTTTATTATTATAAAAGTTAAAAGGAAGTTATTGAAACGTCAAGATGGCGCCATTTACAAGGTTTCAAATTATATGAATGAATGTTTTTTAGTATGAAATATTGGTTTAAGACGATGATGCAATTTCATTAGTCTTACTAAATTAACCTTTTTTTTTAAATTAAACGCTGCATTACCTTAATTTTTAAGCTACATTTTTTTTTATAATAAACACTCAATTGACTATTGGTAATGACTTCAATTCATTTCCAATGTTTTCGGCCATATTGTTTTCATGTGATGTGCGATCGCTTTGTTTATGTTTTCGTTTAAATTATTAGGAATTAGTTTTAAACATAAAGTTGCGTAAATATGTGTAGTAGTAGTTAAATATATGTGTAGGTTTTTCAAATAGTGTATTTGTTTATCAGTTTCTAGTACAAGTACCTATATTATTCGATTGTGAAGTTCGTGTGGATAATAGGTTGTTTTATGTGTTTGTTGAAAGTAAAAACAGTAATATTTCGCAAGAAAATGTCCTTTATCGGACTAGATTCCGGTAATGACCATAGGCAGAGGTGTACTCGAGTTACGAGAATTGACTATTGACCCAAGTAAAAGGTAGGTAATGTAAATATGTACTATATAATGGATGTTTTATTTGATTTTCTTGTTTATTGTTTGATAATTCTTAAAAATATCAACTTAGACTTCGGGTTGTACTGATTTACATATTAATTTATTATTAATAACTATGTAATGTAATAAACTAAAAACCGCATAGACTCGGCTCGGCCACAGCCGGCCGCGCTTGTTATTGTTTTGTTTGTTGACATAAAGTAGGTACCTACGCTCTTAAATTCGTAATATGTATATTATGATTTTGAACAGATTGATTAAACTTAACAATTCCGTAATGAAATTTGGTTCATCAAAGAACGCATTGTACATGTACCTGTCTTGTGTGAGCATGATTGTAAGGACGGGCGGGGGGGGGGGGTTATACTTATTATTAACTCGTCGAGTACCGGTTTTATAGACACAATTAAAGAACAATAGGTCGCGGTCACCGGTGACCGCTTGGTGTTTGACAGTTTAATCATACGATATTTAGTTGCCTACCCTGTCTCGAAATCCTGTGCACGCCACTGGCTATAGGCTACAAAACATCACGCTACGACTTATAGGAGCTAAGCAGAGCGTGTGAAACCGGGCGGAAGTAGCTAGTTTAGGTATAAGATTGACATTTTTGTACTATTTCGCTACTGTTACAGGCGTCCATGGGCTACTTTGATCGCTTACCCGTGGTAAACTGTCAGCTCGTTTATTGCCCAATCCTATAAAAAGGATGAGCTTATATTTAGCTATTTTGTATAGTATTAAATTGAGTGTATTATAAGGCAATAGGCTCACAAGTCTCAAACATATTCTCCTAGTATAAGTTGAGTATACAACTATTTATGCACTACATTCCATAATCACATATTAAGTTGATAACACTGTTGACAGCACTGAATGCGGCATGTACAAGCCCAACTGCGGGCTGGAGAACCTGATGATCTCGTGGGGACACGACGAGTACCTGTACCGGGTGCTCGTGCACAACAAATCCAAGTTCCCTAAGGAAGGACTCTTCATGATCAGGTTAGTGCTGTTTATTCCTGTCTACTTCTAGTTAACACATTTGAAGATTCTTATACAGAGAATGTTCAGTATCCTTTCAAGGTTCAAAAATATGTTGACACAGCAAGATGCCAGATGGTAGAATGTACCAGGACGATGTACCTCTGTAAGACCTTATATTATGTACCAACATTCAATGCAAATAAATCATTCTATTCTATTTTATTCTAAGATTGGAGTCGTTACAAACAGTCAATCTTCAATTCTTTTTTTTTCAATAATATAGATAATGTTGCAGGTACTTATATCGTTAACAGGCAATATTACCTGTTACATATGTAAGGGATAATGAAATCATTGTGAAACCCTCATTTATCGTTGCTACACACGTTTAAAACGAATATTGTGTCCATTATTTACTTTACTTTTTCTGTCCATCAGATACCACTCTCTGTACCCGTGGCACGCGGGCGGCGACTACAAGCACCTCATGAAGGAGGGAGATGAAGATATCATGAAACATGTGCTGGAGTTCAAGTAAGAGAGATATAATTTTATTATTTAGTTATTAGATGGAAGTTACTCCATTGTAGACGGTACAGAATAGATGCAGGTCCGAATGCAAATTCTAAGAAGGTCGATTAAAATCCCAAAAAACTGCTTGCATGATATTGATGTAGATTTTATTGTTTCGTTTCTAAGTTGTTAATGCGATATGGATATTTATCAGAAAGTGAAAGAAATGCAATAAAGAAAGTTTCCATGTTTTTAAGTTAAAAATAACCTTGTTTTAATAAAAAAGATGCAAAATAATGGTAGGTTAATTAGTTTAGCAGTGTTTTTGTTTTTTAATGACTTGCGCCGACTTCTAACCTATCAGTGGCTGGGTAACCTATCAGTACTAATACCTAAAGTTATTATTTGCACATTAGTTTTTACTCTTTGTTGGTTACTAGTTTTTGGTTTTTTGAAGTCGGTTTTTATTTTTATTTATGCTGCCAAGTCAACTGCATAAGTGCTGCATCAAAAACGTAAAAATAATTTATCAATCTCGTTAAAATCTAATTTTTCTTCAAACCTCAAATGTTTTACTGATATTATATGTATTTCTTCTTGCAGTAAATATGACCTGTACACCAAGAGCGCTGGTATCCCCGACATCGAAGCTCTCTGGCCCTACTATGAGAAATTGATTGAGAAGTACATCCCTGGAGTTTTGGAGTGGTAGACGAAATTGTACTTTAAGCTTTTGACTGTAGGCGTAATATGTAATGCATTATGATTTAAAAACTACTAAACTGTTGTTGTGAATTATTGTTTTTTTTTTACTTGTAAAACTTTTTTTTAATTAACGAGTTCCCTTCGCATGAGTGGCATAGACTATGGTACACACGGCTACACATCGAGCTTTACATAACCAGTATAAACTGAACGTTAAATGTGCGGAAAGATGATGCGACGCGACACCAGGATAAACTGGTTTTGTATAGATTGATGTGTGGCCGTGTGTACCAACTACATATTTTTTCTAATAAGCACATTTTTAGTACAACCGTTTGTCGTCGAGTGTCTTATCTTCATCTTTATTTTTAACCCCACCTCTTCGAAAAGGACCCGCAAAAACCTAGATTTTGGGTTTTTTGAAATTTAAGTTTTATTGTTAAAGATATTTTAAGCTAGTCTTACCAAAGATAATATCTATATTTTTATTTTAAAAATTAAAATATACTGCATATTCTCATAACTTTTCGAGGATGCTCGTTAAGTTTGTTGTCGCGCATACTGAACGTGATTAAGAGCTCCGTTTATGCTTCGAAACTAGTTGAGCAATCTCCTCGAAGACTTACGTGAGAAAGTCATATATTCTAATTAATTTAGCATATCACATGTTAGTTATAATTCTATATTTGTACATAAAAATTGTTATTAATTAAAATTGGCCAATTATTTGATAATGCTGTATGATATTGTAAATAATAAAATTGTTTTCATTTTAATCATTGTTTTATTAACCTTGATCTTAAGTTTCCAGTGGTAGTTTATCGCATTTTTAGTTTATCTGTAAGAGGTCAGGATATTAAAAACAATTGATTGCAAAACCATGTGCGTCGGACTCATAAGTTTACGAAATCTTATAGGAAAGTTCCTCCTAAGTTATTTTTGAGAGATATATAAATACTTTCACTTATGGGCACTGGCAGTTGGGTGCAAGCAAAGAATATTTTTGAACTTTTTTTGACACAATTTTTTGGCAAACCATACGTGTAGTCCAATTGCAGTTGTATTGCAGACATGTTGCAAACCAAACGAGCAGTCCGATTGCAGTTCTATTTCAGTCGTGTCAACTGCGTTCAAACTGTATCCGAACTGCAAATTGCAGTTGGATTGCAGTTGAAACACGGTTCGTCTGTCTGCCTTAGATAAAGATTTCATAATTAATTATACATATGTGATGAACTGATGAAGGGAAACGTCATGAATGGATCTGTTACGCACTTGCACCTACTATATCACATAGCTACATAGCTCAACGAGAATCTACAAGGTAGTGGGTGAGCATAAAAATAAAACGATATAAATTATAATAAATCAGGAACTTTATTTAAAAGCTATATTTACAAAAATACAATTATCTCAAAATATGTAATAGGTAATTAAACTACTAAGCATCAACAACCGAGTCAGAAATGTAACACAGCGCGTTACTTAAATTAAATCTAAAGAATGCCCTGTTTTATGTGGCACCAAGTGTACAATTACGTCAAAATTATTAATAATACCATTTAGATGAAGAAATAGTGATTAAGTTCACCATAAAATACATAAACACAGCTTGCCATTAGCCCTAATAATTTAAAACATTTTTCAGTGTTGCAAGATGGAAGATTTTTACACTCCGTGCCACAAAATACAGGGCAGCATATACAAAGTAGTTTAAAAACTAATATCAACTGTGTCTGATCATACACACACGGACGAAACAGCCTCAAATAAATATTTACTATAGTTAATAATAATATAGTCGAATATATCGTTTAATATAAAGTACTACAATGTGTGTATGACAACACCGGAATATTTAGCTGTGACAACACATTCACAAGTTTATAAAACATTCAGCCAAACAATAGTACAACCTCACAAAATCAAATGCTATAATAATTTACTATAAAATACGTCGTGATTTAATGATTACTGGATTTATTAAACAAACATTCCAAATAAGGACTACCATTTTTTGACACTAGGTGGCGTAACTTGAGATCTGTCTTTCTAACCGGCGCCCAATCTTTCGTCATAATTTTTACACAGCTGCGACAATTGGACAAAAGAGATATCATGCTAGATGAGCGCTATATACAATGAGCAAAAAAAACAGTACCTTATATAAAAGTAACTATAATGAGTTATTTCTACCCAATGTTTTGGACTAGATGTAATTAGGTAAATCCAGAGAATAAACAATGTAATCAAAATCTTTAAAAATCATAAAAGCTGGTTAAATAGTGACCAATAGTGATTAAGAATGCGTGCAACGCTTAACGTCTATTGGTTAATAATTTTGCCGCGTTCGCAAAATGATTATAGTTTGGTTACATAATAAGTTACATAAATAAACGATTAGTAAATATAAACATGGATAATCATTATTTAATGCCGATTGTGTAGGAAGCCGCATACCATATTATTATTTCTCCTAAAAAATAGAGGAACAGAATCCATTGAAATCTGACATCTGTCAAAGTTGAGGTTGACATAACTTCATTTTTTTCAGGGACCAAGACTTTTTTGAAAAAGTGATAAATTAAATCACCAAATCAATATTTGTTGTAATAGATTTTTGTTAAAAAGACACAAAACTACGAAATTATTGTATAAAATTAGTAGTTTCATACAAAATCGACATTATCACATTTAATTCCAATAATTATGCTATTTCGCTCTAGGCAAAAAGGCGAGTAGTTAAGTAATAATTTACAAGAATAAAGTTACATTGGTCGAAGCCTAATCACATACAAATATAAATATGAGAATATTATATGAACATTATATTAATAAAGGCAATTTTTTAAGAAATTTCGAATAAATTGGAGAAGATATATTTAAGGCATAATGTATAGGGACGCGATTTAATATTTTAATTATCTACTTTTTTATTTATATGAATATGAGCCTTTTAGATTAAAATAGCTGGCTGACTCTAATAGCCATAGACAAGTTATAGTAATATGTTTTTAATAAGTAAGTTCAAAAATACCAATTTTATTTTAAACAGCGTATTAAAAAGTATAATGAGACCAATTTATTAATATTAATGATAATGCATATTTGCGACTATTTAAAATAGAAAAGGCTTTTTGATTACATTTTGAGTTTGCGATATTTAAATATTTGTAAGATATGATATAAAGACGACGATATTACTTACATATTTTAGTATAGTCAAAGTATTGAAAAATGCTCCTTAATTTCAATACTATATTACGTTTCGCATATTTTCTATCCCAAAACTAGACAGAAAATGTCCCTAACTGTACCAAATATCATCAAAATCCCATATTTTACCAATTTCTACAGTTTGGCTCACATTTAATTATATATTTAAATTATCTGGTCGTATTCTTCACTAGAGATGGTTCCATCCTAACATTATCGTATCAGTCTTTATAATGGAAAGACGGCTACAACCCGCAAGGCCAAAACAAGGCAATATAGTACTTGTATCACACTCTTTTTAGCTTATTGTGATTTTGTACGACATTGAACACTATTGTAAAGGTTAAAAGACTTTAAATTGTGTAGCTTAATTAAAACTGTTAATGTAACGTGTGACGTCGTTTACTAGTCACCACGTATGTTGATCATGATTATGAGTCCCGATTTCAGCTTGAAACTAATCGAGCACGCTCGAAAAGTTACGTGCGCATACTAAATACAATGTAGTTTGTCTCATGATCATTAATAAAAGAAATAAAAGGATAAAAATGTCTGTTTGAACGACGAGCAAAATATGGAATAAATTAAAACCGAATGACTACAAGATTAAGGTTCAATATCGCATTAAATCACGTAACCGCTAACTTTCTACTAGGTTTTATTATCTATCTTACTATCCCTTTTTCAATACAGTCCAAAAATATGAATTTTCTTTAGGAATGTTAATTACAATATTAATTTCGATACAGTTTTAGCTTGCATACTACATACTAGGCATATAAATGTAGCCTTTTTACGAAATATATATATATTTATGTATTATAGCTACTTGCATTGTTCTAATTTTGTTCCAAAGATTATTTTAATTCATACGTGTTTCTAATGCAAGTTTCTTCGCAGTACATAAGGCTACTTTAAAAAGGCATGAATATTCGTTTTATCTTGGTAATTATTCCTTTAAAATATCTTATTATAATTTTAAGCAAAGATTTAATTTATTTTCCACTCTACAGGTAATACAGAATATTTTATCAAGTCTAATGCGCAAACAGTAAGGCCGTTGCGCTAAATTGCGCAAAGTATTGCGCTAGTATTGGCTCTCATTAAAAATGGAATATCATATAAATTCATAATACGATGAGTCGAAACGATGTTGTAAATTAAATATTATGTTTTCGGCTTTCTCAGGTAATTATTTGTTCGACAAGTTTCCAGCCATGCTAGAAGCTCATATTCATGAGCAGCATTTCGCGACTCGCAGCGACTCACGTGAAACTAGTCCAGTTCCTCGTCAAATAATTACGTGAGTAAGACGAAAACCATAATATTTAATTTAGTATGTCGCACAAAAGTTATAATATAAAGATGTTGTAAATTGTTCTCTATATCTATTGCAATAAGGTTTACGTTTCAAAATGTTTGTAAATGCTTGTGACATACGCCATAACTTGCTGCCAGTCAGGTCTCTCTTGTTGGATCATGTCTTGAATGTTCTGTAGATAAAAAGGAAAATAAAAAAATGTAATTAATGTTTTCATGGATTGATGATCATTAATTATTTCATCAATAATTAAGATGTAGATAGACACTATGTCTATCTATTTATCTATATAAAAAAATATATTTCAGTTCGTTAGTCTCGCTAAAACTCGAGTACGGCTGAACTGATTTAACTAATTTTAACCATCGACTATAATAATTTTTGTCAAGTTTTTTCTAATTACGTTTATTGTACAACTGTCAGCCACAATGAGATGTAGAATTTTACAAGCAAGACATCTAGGTACAAGATATTTAGAAATAGAGAGAAACTGCATTGAAGATTAATGTATGGTACAAACCAGCGTTGTAGGTATCCCAACGGACTCTGCAGCGGCGAACGCTACGGAGAAGTTGGTCCTCTTGTCGTGTGGAGATAGCGAGGAGTAGCAGATACGACTGTCGCCCAGGTACGAGTGTAGTAGTGCACACAGGGCCAAACCGTCGTTCCACGATGAACTGGAAGAAATAAATTTAGGTTAATAATCATAATCAGCGTAGAGACCCCAACGATCTGGAGAAGCTTGTGGTAGTTGGTCAGGTTAACGGGAAAAGACCTCGTTGTCGCTCACCTACCCGGCTAGATGTTGTAAAAAACCTCACCAGCCTGACAGTTCCACAATCCATAAAGACCGCAGAGGACAAGGGCGTTTGGAGGAGGGTTGTGCATCAGGTAACGCGTGAACCAGACTAGATACGACCTTTAGTAATGAAGAGAGCGACTAGAAGAAGAATCATAGTCTTCATCAGCTTGTCATTGTCCTACTGCTGAACAAAGGTCTCGTCTTACAGAATAAACGAACATTAATCACTTCTCTTGGTTGCCTTTATATATTCTTAGCTTAACAATAATAATAAAAATGTTAGGTAGATGCTAAATCTGATAAAACTTCACTAAAAAGATTGCCTTCTTAGCTACACTTGTGTGGTTCAAATATTATTTACGTTTAAGGGGCAGGCCAGATAAAGAAAATGCCAGGTGGTATACAACCTTTGTGGACACAGGTCTTTACGTAAAAGGTTTTTATTGCTGTAAGACTGGAGAGACTAAACTCTTAAGTTTTTAAATCATTTGCCTAGACTTTAATCATAATTATAAACTCACCTAAAATTAGTAATATCAATGTTGTTGTATCCCATAGTCTTCTGTTGGCACCATTTCAGCAGAGCGTTGCGTTTGGACCCGCCATTCTTGACTTGCAGCGCATTCAAAGGATCTTTTCTTTCACCTGTGATCATTTTGAGGACATGTTGTTTAGAAGAAATTTCGATACGCAATTATATAGTTTGATGCCTGTTAAATGTTGGAGTCATAATGGAAATGTAATTTATTTTGGTGTGGATTGTTAATGGACATTGTGTACTGGTTGGTATTGCGAACATTTATCATGCACACACATAGAAGCTAAGCTGTAGGACTTACCTTGAGTTGAATCCAAAATCGGCTGTATTACGGTACTTTCACACGGCGTCGAGGGTTTCTCTACAATCTACCGAATAGGTTTTTTGTAGGATTCAGTGTAGTGGCAACAGTATTTCAACGTGGTACCGTATAAACGTTTTGGCGAATCCTGTGATCATTGGTTCTACGTAAACGCCTAGCGTTGTATTCACACAGATCATCTTGCATTGCCGTATCCAACTGCCTCGTAGCGAGATCCCGTGTGAACACACCATCTGACGTTTTTTAGCTTGTGCAACCCAACGATATTCGTTTCAAGATCTGGCAAATAACCGAATCTACCCCTGCGTGCATGATATGAATGCATGTACTGAATGCGCTATACCACTGCACCGGATCTTATATTTTGCAGTACAGCCGGATCGGTTTGTAGCAGCAAAATCGGATGTCAATATCAGCAAGATTCAGTTTTTTCCCGTGTCTTGATAGTGAATGCATGTGTGAACTCATTCATTGCAATACTGTTGCCACTAAAGCGAATCCTGCAAAAACTCGATTCGGTAGAGAAATATCGACGCAGTGTGAACGTACTGTAATGATCGATATTTAGTTCTTAAGTGCATTAATAGATGGCGTTACTAGGCTAGCCACATTAATATAAATCATATATTTATCATGGTCAAGTGAGGGTGGCAGTAAAAGAAAATGAAAAAAAATAAATCTGACAGATGACGATTATATAAAGAAAGGAGGCAGCTAACGGGTCCTCATTTAATTTGCATTATTGCTGTAACTTAAAGCCATAATTGATCAGAAATCTGTAATGAATAATAAATACATAAGTATTATTGCCAGTGACAAGTGAGTGTGGTTGCAGTAACGGGGTAAGTGTTTGCGTTTACTTTACGGAAGTGTACACTGGATCATCGGCAATATTTTGCAAGGCTGATTGTTTTTACATTGTCCTCAGCTTGCGGATACGCCCTTAATTATTCGGGAGAAACTTTAGGACTGTGATTCAGCCTCCGTTACGCCGGTTGATCTCGACGCATAGAGATTAACATTTTCACCATTGTTCTCGAGTAACCAGTTGGTCTCGGGTGTAGCATCGTATACGTCGACACGGTTGAACTCGGGTTCGAACCCAAGCCATAGAAAACTTTTTGTTATATTTCGTTTTTTCTGTATTCTGATTTTACTGTTTTATTTAGGTTTTATGCTTTTTCTTTGTTCTTTAGAAGTGATTTCCAGTGATTTAGTTTAGTTTAATATTTGTCAGTGTTGAATAAATTTTATGTACCTATTACCGCTGCTTAATCTTTCATTACCCAGTTACTGGAACCCAGGTCATCACATTGGCGCCCAAGGGTTAACTGAATGAAGGATTAACAAGGTGTATTGTAAAAAGATTCTTGTGTAACAGTGTAAGAAGTAGGCATTCATTCCGGACAGATATTGTAATTTCGTGGGTAGTGGTAGGTAGTAAGTATTATATTCATCAAGTAAATTAATATTGTTTTGATTGTTTAAAGTTCTATTATTGCTTAGTCATGGATGTTAATGCATTATATAAAGATGAGCTCGAATTTGAGTTGGCATGTCGAGGGGTTTCTGATTGTAAAACCGTGGCGACTATGCGGAAATTTTTGCGAGAAATTTTAGTTCGCGAGCAGTCAGGTGAGTCCTCTATTTCCTTTAAGGCACCTAAGTCATGCATCGAGAATCCAAAAGATGAAATATTAATTTGTAAAAAGAAATTATCAGCTATTAATTTACTTATATCTGAAGTATCACACAGTCCTGAGCACTCGTTTTGTAAACGCATACACTCTCGTTTGACACACTTGTCAAATCGTGCTAAACTAATAATACCCTCGGAGTCTAGTGATATTGCGAATCATTCGACCTTGCTAAAGAATATTCAAGATACCTTATCGTCATTAAGACAACTTGAGCAAGAAGAAGGTGAGGATGATGAGGGAATTTCTGAACATGATAAGGACATCTTACAGAAGTCGCTTGGCGAAGAGGCCATACAGATTATGGAACAGTTGGAAAAGTGCCGAGACCCAGAGAACAATTCTTTACCAAAGGGTACTAACACTCAAATACATCAAGATCGAGCTCCACAATCGGCGGTGGCTGAGGCTGACACACCACCTCCCGTCTTGGAGAGACCTAGTCATTCCTCTCGTCATCTTGGTTTACAAAGGACTTCTACATTTGATAATGGCTTTCACAAACGGAAATTGGTACCGATTAAAGATTGGGGTGTCAAGTTTAGTGGTAAGGGCACCATAAGTGTAAACGCGTTCTTGGAAAGAATTGAGGAACTTAAAGAGGCGCGAAATGCTACCGATGAAGACTTGTTTCGCTACGCCATAGACTTCTTTGAAGAAGAAGCGTTGATATGGTTTAGGGCTAATAAAAATTCAGCGGCAAATTGGTCACAATTGGTTAGGCTACTGTTAGACACATTTCAGCGACCGTATTATCAAGAAGAGCTATTGGAAGAAATTAAGCGTCGAACTCAAAGTAATCAGGAAGGTGTTTCGGTCTATATAGCTATTATGCAGAATATGTTTAATCGACTACCTACCCCAATTCCAGAAACGCAAAAATTAATAATACTTAGAAGAAATTTACAACCATACTTTCAAAAAGCTATATGTCGAGATACTTTCGATTCAGTGGGCGAATTAACTGCAGTTCTCAGGATTATTGAATGCACCAAGTTGAGCTGTGAAAATTTTAAAGAACCTACCCAAAGTGATTATTCATTGGAAAAAGATTTAGCATACAAGGGTAATACTTCGAGGACCTCACGAAACGATGATACGACTGAGCTAGCAGCTATAGATAATAGAGAAGTGCAGTTGACGAAGTGCTGGAACTGCAGATCTCCAGGCCATCGCTTCAGGGATTGTAAGTTGCCAAAACAGAGACTCTTCTGTTATAGATGTGGACGTTTCGGGAAAACGACAAATAAATGCCCATGCAATACCACTGATAAGGGAAACGACAAGTCGGAGTCGATGCCGGCCGATCGTACCCCGAAAAACTAAGTCATTCTATCTCGGATGACTGGAAACAATGGCTACACACGGTTTCAATATTTTGGAAAACGGGGAAAATACATAACATTAATAAACACAGTTAAGATAATCGATATTATGCTGAACTAACAATCTTGAATCAGCCATTTGTGGGATTATTAGATTCTGGAGCCACTATCTCAGTAATTTCTCCGCAATTTGCAACGAGAGTTATGAAATTAGGGTTTTCAGAGCATAAAGTTGACAAGGAAATGGTATCTACGGCAGATGGCACTTACCATACAATGGATTCCATTGTGCATTTACCCATTGAGTTTATGGGAAAATATAATGTGGTAGATTTTTATATCATGGATTGTTTAAAACATGATATTATCTTAGGCATGAATTTCTTTGAGTTATTCAATTTAGCAATAGGGGCAGGCAAACCAATGATTAACATCTCGGAAATAAAGGTACAGCTACCAGTGATCTCGCGAGATGAACTGTCGGCCTCACAGAAAGAGCGGCTCGACAAACTGTTGGTTGAAATGGCAGCAGATATTGGTAAAGGTTTGGGAAGAACATCGTTGATCAAGCACAGAATCGATACCGGGGACAGCTTGCCCGTCAAACATAGGCAGTACCCCTTTGCTCCCCCAATTATGGCAGAGCTTGAGAAGGAAATTCAGGATATGCTGGACAATGACGTGATAGAGCCCTCCTTTAGTTCATGGCGTTCTCCAGTATTACTAGTGAAAAAGACTTCGGGTAAGAATCGATTGTGCCTCGACAGTCGCCAGTTAAATAAGATTACAATAAAAGATTCTTATCCCTTGCCTAGGGTTACAACCATCTTAGACAGTCTAAAAAATGCTCAGTTTCTGTCTACTATTGATTTACGATCAGCTTTCTGGCAAATACCGCTTGAAGAAACCAGCAAGGAAAAGACAGCTTTTGGACTCGCGGGAAAAGGACTTTATCAGTTTAAAGTCATGCCGTTTGGACTAGTCAACGCTTCTCAAACACAACAACGATTGATGGATCGGTTGTTTACGCCGGCATTTGAGACTCGAGTGTTTACATATTTGGATGACATCGTCATTTGTGACAGCAGTTTTGAAAACCATTTATCGTCATTGTCACATGTCAAAAATCAGCTTAAAGAGGCAGGATTAACGATAAATCTGGAGAAATGTGTATTTGCGAGATCATCATTAAAATACTTGGGCTACATCGTAGACAAGGAAGGATTACGTACCGACCCAGATAAAGTGAAGGCGATCCTCGACTATCCCAGGCCTACTACTTACACGGAACTAAAGCGATTCATTGGTCTAGCTAGTTGGTACAGGCGGTTTGTGGAAAATTTTGCCATTGTCGCAGCTCCGCTTCATGAATTAACTAAAGGAGGCAAGAGGACTAAATGTATAGAATGGAATAAAGAGGCAGAAGATTCTTTCTTAAACCTGAAGACTGCCTTGACCTCGACACCAGTGTTAAGAGTGCCAGATTTCACCAAACCCTTTTCTATTCAATGTGACGCCTCTAACAGGGGAACTGGTGCAGTTTTAATTCAAATAGTCGACGGACTCGAGGCTCCAATCGCTTACACGAGCAGAAAATTATCGGAAAGGGAATGCAAGTACTCAGCATCTGAGCGAGAACTATTGAGTGTTCTACATGCTGTAGAACAATTTCGTCCATATGTAGAAGGGAATCACTTTAAAGTCATCACGGACCATAGCGCCCTTCAGTGGCTACACCGTAACAAGGATCCTCACGGACGTTTGGCGAGGTGGGCAATGCGCTTACAGCAATTTGATTATGAAATAGTCCACCGTAAAGGTAAATACAACACTGTGCCGGATGCTTTATCAAGAGCGATTGAAGAAGAAATTAACATTTTAGAAATAAAACCAGAAGATAAAGATGACTGGTATAAATCAAAAGAAGACTTGGTGCTGTCTGGGAAGAATGAACCGGATTGGGAGGTTAGCCAAGGACAACTGTGGAAACATTTGCAATTAAAACAATTTCCAGATGAAAATGACAGTTGGAAACTTGTGATTCCCGAAACGCTTCGCCAAGGCATCCTGAAGGAATGCCATGATGACCCCACAGCTGGCCACTTTGGTGTTAAAAAGTCAGTCAACCGAGCAAGACAGCGATATTTCTGGCCGACATTAATAAAGGACATGAAAGACTTTGTACGGAAATGTGAAGTGTGTGCGAAGTATAAGTACTCACAAAGTAAGCCATCAGGTTTAATGGGAAAGCAACGAGAGGTATCAGAACCTTTTCAGATTATATCAATGGACTTAATGGGACCCTTTCCAAAATCGAAGCATGGTAATACTATGCTGTTAGTCATCACGTGCTGGTTCAGCAAATTCTGTTTTTTGTACCCTCTCCGGAATGGAAAGTCATCAACTATAGCTCGAATACTGGAGGAAGATATATTTTTAATGTATGGAACCCCCAGCGTAATAGTTTGTGATAATGGGAAGCAATTTGTATCCAACCAGTTTAAGGATTTAGTTTCAGAGTACGGTGTAAAACTATGGTACACTCCTTATTATCATCCTCAGGCTAATCCCACTGAACGAGTAAACAAGGTCATTGGCTCGGCTATAGCTTCTTACGTGGAAGATAATCACAAGGAATGGGACAAGTACATACCACACATAGGTCATGCAATCAGGACATCGGTTCATGAAGTGACCGGGAAAACGCCAGCGTATTTGTTTTTTGGACGCGAAACAATAATCCGGGCCATGAAACCTTACAACTTTGAACCGGGTCAACCGATAACTTTCGATAAAGAGAGATTTGAAAGAAATATGGCCTTCAGAAATAAAATTTATGAGGAAGTTTCTGAAAGAATGCGGCAGTCACATGAGACCAACAGTGATCAGTACAATAAGAGACGTCGTACTTGTAGATATAATGAGGGTGATCTGGTTTGGAAGCGCACTAAGCTGCTATCGAATGCTGACAAGTCTTTTATGTCCAAATTAGCACCTAAGTTTGAAAAAGCAGTCGTAGCCGAAAAGATATCAGACGACGTTTACAGACTAAAGAGTTTCAAGGGAAAAGATTTAGGAAAATGGCATTCTTGTGACCTTAAACGTTTGGTTTGAATCCGGTTGGATTCCTCAGAGGAGAGGGGATATTGTAATGATCGATATTTAGTTCTTAAGTGCATTAATAGATGGCGTTACTAGGCTAGCCACATTAATATAAATCATATATTTATCATGGTCAAGTGAGGGTGGCAGTAAAAGAAAATGAAAAAAAATAAATCTGACAGATGACGATTATATAAAGAAAGGAGGCAGCTAACGGGTCCTCATTTAATTTGCATTATTGCTGTAACTTAAAGCCATAATTGATCAGAAATCTGTAATGAATAATAAATACATAAGTATTATTGCCAGTGACAAGTGAGTGTGGTTGCAGTAACGGGGTAAGTGTTTGCGTTTACTTTACGGAAGTGTACACTGGATCATCGGCAATATTTTGCAAGGCTGATTGTTTTTACATTGTCCTCAGCTTGCGGATACGCCCTTAATTATTCGGGAGAAACTTTAGGACTGTGATTCAGCCTCCGTTACGCCGGTTGATCTCGACGCATAGAGATTAACATTTTCACCATTGTTCTCGAGTAACCAGTTGGTCTCGGGTGTAGCATCGTATACGTCGACACGGTTGAACTCGGGTTCGAACCCAAGCCATAGAAAACTTTTTGTTATATTTCGTTTTTTCTGTATTCTGATTTTACTGTTTTATTTAGGTTTTATGCTTTTTCTTTGTTCTTTAGAAGTGATTTCCAGTGATTTAGTTTAGTTTAATATTTGTCAGTGTTGAATAAATTTTATGTACCTATTACCGCTGCTTAATCTTTCATTACCCAGTTACTGGAACCCAGGTCATCACAGTACCGTTATTTTTAGAGATTTCTTTTTGTACGGTTTCATAATTCGACTAATGATGATATTGAACTGAACTTTACATAAACGATTTCCATTAATAGCTACTGTTCAGTAATTATTCGATTGCTGAAGAATAGGACGGTACTGATTAATATTATGAACCTACATAATAATATAGTAATCTATTTACCTACCAATTTCTCAAATAATTTTAAATCTGATTTTAAGATATCCTTTATACCTACTAACTAAACATTTAACACATTCAGCAACCACCAAATATAGTTTCCTTGCTGCCAGTAATTAAACATCTACTTTGCTTTAATTTGGTCAGATATAGGTACTAGTTCTACATCATGTTATTAAAGTTAGTATTGATAATTTTATCCAAATTGGTCTAATGCTAATATAATCTGAAAATATATCCTAGGACTACTTGTAAATAAGATTGTCCTGCGTTTACAGTAACAGACTCACATATATCTCCATAGCTGTTCCGTCGCACGAAGGACTCGATGGCTTTCTGCTGCAGCGAGTGGAGGGCGCGCTGCTCGTCCGGGATGTTGGATTGCGCTGCGCCAGCCTCTGCCCAGCCCCGTTAGGCACAACGTCAACGCAAGCACGCAACGACGGTATTGTGATACGTAGGGTAGGAGTATTGATACTATGTTTTAAGAACCAGCTAAGATAATTATTGAAAGTGATGTTAATGTATTGGACCCAAGCTGGGTGTTGTTGGTAGCTTGTGGGTGTGAAAATTGTAATTAAAAGTTTCTTAATATTATTATGTTATTATATTACTGTCCTTCCGTTTGTTCCCACTTTAGTTTTCATTCATGTATTGTGGGTACGTTTACAAAAACAGGTTTGAAATGTTATAAAAGTGTTATCTGGTTTTAATTGCAGATTAAAGGGTATTCTTGTCTTAGAAAGAAAAGAATCAAGGAAATTAAGAGCAAGGTTGAAGAAAAAATATATTGATAACTTTATTGTAAGGTGTTGCCAACCTTTTATCAAGACCTTCTCATTAAAATGGCAACATTCCAATTGACGGAACAATATAAAAAGTTTAGGTACTTTATCACAAAACCGTCGATGGTAGTACATGATAGAAACATCCACACAGTCAGCCAGTGTGGATATTTCCGAGTAGACACAAACAATGCAGAGTGGCACCACCCCCAATGAGTGAACTCCACACAAGAACCGACTCCATTAGAATTAGAACAAGGGGAAATATGGCGGGAATATGTCAATTTCAAACCTCCATCTTGATTTGTTTGGCGCCATTCTTGTTACATTTTTTATTGTTCCTTTATCTAACGCAATAAGCAACAGATTTATAAAAGATTTTATAAAGCATAGAAAAAAAATTAACGTAAATTTAAGCAATAAAATAGAATTGAAAAAGAAACACTAGAAAGTCATTGTATTAGACAAAGGAAACCATCCGAAAATAGTAAAAAGTTTTAATATAAGTAATAAACAATAAACCTTTTTTCTTAAATAACAGGGGTGTAAAAATAAAAGTCTAGTGGCATGCATCATGTAATGAACTATAAAGTTTTTAATAAAATAAATTAGTAAAGGTCGCACACAACACATATCGTTAATAGGCAAGGGTTGGGCTATGCGCCGCGTTCATGCTGCCATGCTGGAAAAAATAAGCGACTTTCATGCGATTATATGTAGCCGGGGACCGAATTTACGTTATTTTTAAAGATTAAGATTAAATTATTATGCTTGACCAAATTATTGGGATAAATATAATCATAATTAACGAGTAAATAAAGCTAAAATATTGATAATTACATTCTTATTTGCTTTTAAACTTTAGGATTTTTATCGTCAATGTTGTTACTTCCATGCATATGCCCCTTGTTTTATACCTATTTGTTCTAACAATTTCCTACTAATTTATAATAGCGATGATTACGCATCTACTTCTATTTTCATATAAAACATCCTCTAAGTTCTAGACTCAGATGTTGTCTTAATAGAATTTCAAACTTCACGTTTTGTAATAACGCAGAAAATATATTGTAATATTTATCATACTAGACATGCAAATGCCAATAATTTGCTTGATTTAAAGTGTAATCTCCCATACATAATTTTCGCGATGGAGATACATGAAAAATTTTGGGAAATCCACAGAATTAGATGCATTACCATCACCAGCAATATTGCCTACACGAAAATTAACAATACACATCCTAAATCAACCATACCACCTTCACAGACCACTTACCGTTAACAATGGGTGAGGGTCGAGAGCCCCGTGCAGCTGGTGGTTTACTTGAGAAGGTAGTTCCAGTCATGCCATTTGTTGACGCTGTGGAATCCGCTATGCCGTTCTTTATAGATGTTGATGTGGTTGTTGTCACGCCAACTGTCGTTTGCTGGTAAGAAAGGATTGAAGGTGGTGTTAAAATCGTAATCGTAATACGAAATAATTTATTTATGGCAAAACGGCATAACTTTTTATCATACAATCAAGAGCAACACAGCTTAAGGGGCAAAGGATCGCGGGACGATCTCCGGCCACCGTAAGGGCGGGGCTGCGGAAGGCGAGCATGGGTGGCTCCCCGTCCGACCAGAAACAGATCCGAGCGTACGGCGCGTCGCGTTCCGCGCACGCCTCAAAGAGCCATCAGACCACTAGGGCTGATGCCGATTCGGAGTCGCGGAGAACCTAACGGGTTACCGGGGCTCCGGCTCGACGTGCGGGAGAAGGAACGGGGTGGTTTTTAGTTAGTAAGAGTCTGAAACTTCCTCCCGCCTCACCCAGGCGGGAGCCGTCACCCGATGATTTTCCTCACTTAAAAAAAAAAAAAAAAAGGGACAAAGAATTGGATTCCTAACTAAATTCCCACGCTAAACGCTTGACAGATGGGTTAAACATCGCATTGTTGATTATACATGCAGATCACTTTCATCCGGCCTATCTGGAATCAATTGGGGACGCCTATGTTCAGCAGTGGATGTCGTTTTTTTTAATGGAATAGGAGGCAAACGAGCAAACGCATCACCTGATGGTAAGCGATCTGCGCCGGCCATGGACCAGCAACACCAGAGGATTCACAGGTCCATTTAAAAAGGAATAGGTAAGCTCTTATATTGAAGATTTGAAGGTGAGCCTGATGTGATCATTCTTATCAGAATGATGACTAGCCCAAAAACATCCCATCACTTCTTACCTGAGGCCACTCTCCTACAGGGGTGGTTGCAGGCGACTGCTTGGCTGCCTTCGCTGCATTTTCTATACTCTCGATTAGAGATTTGACTGACAGTCTGGAGTCTTGGCGACTTACACCTGAAATCAAAGATTTTTGCTTATTTAGACCTGCTTTCTCTTCTTCTCCCTCTTTATATGAAAGATAAAAAAGTGTAAATTTTTTATACCCGTTATAATCAAAATAGTCGAATACGCATTAGTAACACATTAAAAAAAATTTTTAAGAAACCTTTCGTAAAACCTTTTTACAAGTCATTCTAGAGTTTTTTAACCGACTTAAACTGTCAAACACCAAGCGGTCACCGGTGACCGCGACCTATTGTTCTTTAATTGTGTCTATAAAACCGGTACTCGACGAGTTAAAGGAGGTTCTCAATTTAATCTGTATGTGTGTATGTCTGTCTGTTTGTGTGCAATTATCTCACAATTGGCTGAACCGATTTTGATGCGGTTTTTAGAAAAGTGTTTGTAATACTTAAGAGGTTTTAGTATATAAATTAACCGACCTAAAAGAGAGGGGGTTGTAGTCGAGTTTTTTAAACGCAGTTAATAAAAGTATTATTTAAATGTGGGTTCGTTTAATATACGAGACAACGAGTATAAGTTCGAAGTCAGTTTTCAAATTGAAGATACAGGCGGATATTTACTACTATATCTTTTCAAAAGTCTTACCTTTAGTCCTCCTGTGTGAAGCAGCAGTTGCCATAATATCTTGCAGGGACGCGCTGGTCAAAAGCGGCGGTGGCGGGGGCGTCTCCTCAGTGCGTGGTGGTATAGCTGAAGTGAAAGGTACGGTCAGAACACTACTGTTATATCTATTTAGAAAGTCATTTTGGGAGTATTTTTAATCATAATTTGATTATCTCGGTATCAAGTTTTTGTTCTGTGGACAAGAAATCAAGCTTTAACATGTTCAGAAACTTGTAGTTTCATGTAATGCTTAGAACAATGCAGAATAGGAATTTGTTTTACTCTCCGAAAAAAGTTTACTGGGGAGCGATCTATTTTCTTTGGAAATATAAAAAAATCCAACACCATACGATCCCCAGTGCTGTAATACAATTAAACTATAAAAACCATGCGTACATTGTGATAATAATTTTTCATGCAATTGTCAACCTTATACCTGACATAAATACTTTAAAGCATCACCGTGACAACAAAATTGAAGTCACAATCGTATTGTGTTTGTTTTCCAATTCGTAGTTTTATTACAATGAAGTGAAATGATACAGAAACAAATTAAGCTTCTGAAGGCTAATATAGTCACCCTTGAACCAGAGGCGGATTAGAGACCTGCCCTGCTATAAACTGGCGCCCTAGGCCTTACGGATAATATGGCTCTACCCTGAACACTACCCAACATCTTACAGTGTCAATGGCATCAAGTTTTTAATAACAGCCCTCGCCCTTGTGACGCTTTCTACATATTCCTATTTCCCCAGCATTCAGAAGCTTACACATAAATAAATGGTCGACAAGCCACCACCATGTCACCACCACCAATGGTACACACACTAACACATCATGTTTCCATACATTGATATAGTTATTTACATGTAATTCACACTCGGACGTTTAGATTGCCGGTCACAAAAGCACTAACTTACGTAGAGGTCTGCGAGGCGGGGGATCTTTTAATGATCTTATCGGGTGCGACAACCGTTTGTGCTCCAACGTCCTCCAATATGGCTTATCCCTTGGCAGTGAACCAGTGTTCGGTTCTATGCTCGGAGTAGTTGGATGCTGCAGCGAAAGTTTTCTCGGACCTACTTCTAATACTGTGTCCGATGGCGGCGGTTTCTTCTCCAAACTTTGCACTATTTCCACTATAGATCCAGATTTTATTGGCACATCTTTCGCGCTAGGCGCTTTCGATAGTGATATTACTGACTTGGTTACCCTCGCCCTTTCTTTTGTTTCTTCTGTATTATCTAAAAAATCTAGCGATTTAGATTTTGTAAACCTATCGTCTTTTCTAGGCTTTTTAATACGTCTTGGTACTTTCAGTACCTCTTCTCTAGTAACTGAAGCAAACTCATCTGTAACCGACTGGTTTTTGTTTGATATCTTCTCATCATCCGCTATATTCTTATCTTTGGCTATTACCTCTGAGATCACTGGTCCTATTTCTTCATAAACATTCTCTTGTTCAGAATATCTCCTTTCTTGAGACTGAAATGGATTACTGGGAGCAACATCTGCTTCTTCTTTCTTAATCTCTACAGATTTAGGTACAACAGTTGGCGTCGAATTTATAACAAACGGGACATTCTCCACAGGTTGATAATATTTGTTATCAATCAACCACTGCGGGCTCTTTGATAACTTGCCAACAGTAGCTTTAACTTCTGGAGGTTTCGTGGTAACTATTGGTACAACGCCGACAGCTTTTGGAGGTTCTAAAGGCACTATGGGAGTTCTCGAAAAGGTATTTGGAGTCTTCGATATTTCCAGAGGCTTGTTTACATTTTTACTGTCTGTTAAACTTTCATTTGATCCGAAAGTTTTCCACGATAAGAAAGGCAATTGTTTTGCTTTAGTATTTTTCTGATAAAGACCTTTTCTCTTAGTGCTATCGTCAGGGCCTTTTTCATCAAGTATTTGGCTTTCATTTCTGCTGTCATTAGCAACCTGATCAATATCACTGTAATAAAGAGTACCCTTTTTGGTTTCTTGTTTGCGTTCCACTGTAACTTCTTTAGGAGTAAGAGGCTTGAAAAACACTGGTTGTATCAGCACTGGACTTATAATAATAGGCGCTGTAGGTGCCACATTTCCTTTGCCTATATTAAGGGGTGCTAAGAAAGTCTTAAATGTAGGCCCAGGCCTATTATTAGAATTAATATTATTTGGAGTTGTGTCTATCTTTGGTACATCATCACCCAAATCTGCAGTATTTATTTTTAGGTGATAACTAACATTATCATCTATAGGAACTTCAGATTTAGGTTCTTCAGGAACAGTATCATTAACAGTTTCAGTAACAGGATTAGTTTTTTCGTCTTTCAGACTAGATGTATTTACATCAGGGGTAACTAAATTGTTATTTTCTTTGGTAACTTCAACATTTGGTTCTGAGTCAACATCGCTTATTAAAACTTTAGGAACATTAGACAAAGATATTTTTCTAGTGTTATTTGAATTATCTATTTCATCTTTGGTAATAAGGTCAGCTTCAGAAGATTGTTTTTCATCATCTTTAAAATTATCTGGACTTGAAGCTTTCTTCATTCTGTTATTTCCAATTATTCTCTCTATCGCAGCTTTGAATGTGAGTTTTAATTCTTCATTGACCATTTGCAGTTGTTTCTCAACATTATCATCAATGGGTACATCTCTTAAGACCTTTTTTGCCTCGATTAAATCAACTACGGGTTCTTTCTTAATATCATCGGGGTATGGAAATGGAAGGATTTCTTCAGCTTTAACTACAGTTAATTCTTTACTTACTTCATTATTATTAGCCTCAATTTTTAAATCTACTTTATTGTTATTTTTCTCTACTGGAGGAAGGAAGACACTATCAGTACTTTCCGAAAATAGAGAAGTTTCACTTTCAGTATTAACAGTTAGTAAATCTACACTAGTAGCCTCATTTAAAGCTTCTTGATACTCTTCGTTAGTATTCAAACTATCCAAACTGTAGGACTTTGGCTTGCCATTAAACGTTCCTGATAGGTTTTTACTAAAAATAGTGCGCACCTTGGGTTTGGGTACATAACTAGAATCTGATTTAACTAACCTAAAACTAGAATTCAGATCGATTAGGTTCTCCGCAAGTTGTGGTTCAGCTGGAGCATGACTGTCATCCGTTGTATCGCATTGGTCGACAGCATTTTGCCTTTTTAACTCCTTATCTTTGAAAGGAGGTAAGACAGCTTCGGCTAACACTTTACTCGGATACTCTTCTGTCGAAGATTTTGGAGTATCGTCATCGTTCGTTTCATCTACAGTGACGTTTTCAATTTCTATTTTGAAATTATCTTTCAAGAGATCATTCATATCGGTGTTCGTTTCGGGAGCGTTAGCGGATCTGAAGAATGCTTGTTCTATTAAGCTTGGGTCTTTGGCTGGAGGGTCGGTGACGCTGTGCACTCTCGAAAGGTATCTAGTTCGTATGCTCTTGAATACATCTTTAGACGGACTTAAGTCGTCGCTTGATGGAGACTCGCACGTATCAGATTCCTTTAGATCTAATATATTGTCATCTGAGTATATGCTATCCACAGATTCGGATCTCTCAATACCTGTGTTGGTACATCAAATAGTGATTAGACATTGTTTAACATACATTTGATGGTCGATCACTGTTAGTTAATGAATGCTTATAAAGTTAAGCTTTACACAGAATTAGCGCATGGTAATGCATGTTAATTCTGCTGAAATTACTGAAAGAAATTTAATGTTTTGACTGTTTTGTTTATTTACATGCAAAATTCGACAGTAAAGCTGTTTTAATAGGATATTTCATTTAGTTATGTTTGGTCTTGCATTATTTTTTTCTTGAAATCTATTTAAGCGTTTGTAAGATACAAAGCAAGGACTAAATCATGAACAAACTCCAAACTACTCTCAAATCTACCTGTCATTCGCATGCAAAGCTCTCAACAGCTCTCAATGTAGCAAAAACAACATCCATTTTAATCTATCATAAAATCAGTTTTGGTGCATTAAAACAAAACTAGAGTACCAAACGTTAAAAGTGAAATTATTTATAGAGATCAATCTACGAGACATTATAGTCAAAGATTATTTACAAAATAGAAGAAATATTTTACATTAGACATGGATTAACTTTCAAGAAATCCTCATAGCTAGCATACCTAAATCGAAAACCCTAAATATTAATTGAACACCAATTTACAACAGAACTTGAAAGTGTATCATACAAAGCCAAAATATAATTCATAAACTCAAACGCATTCACGTCATAACCATAGTCTTTCTCTTTCTCTCTACATCACTTACCTTTAAGGGAATGCATCTGATCTTCCAAGAGTCGTATCCTGTCCCTTGCTACTTTGTTCTCAGAGACCAACCGTTCTAACTCCCTCTGAGCTTCAGTTTTGAAATCATTTGCGACCCGTACTGTCATTAGGAGGTCGCTTTGGAATTGTTTCCATTCTGCTTCCTGTGTGAAGAATACAGACAGTAAGCATGTTAAGATTATCAAGAGATTTGGTTTCGATCCTGGTATTGTACATGATTATGAGCTCTGATTATGGCTCGAAACTAATCGGGCACTATCGAAAATTTACATGGGTAAGTTAGAAATTTGATCATGAACATTATTCATGTATGATAGGTATATATGTTACGATTCCTGTACAATGCCAGGATCAATTTAATATTTTTAGTTAATCTGTCAAACACCAAGCGGTCACCGGTGACCGCGACCTATTGTTATTTAATTGTGTCTATAAAACCGGTACTCGACGAGTTAAGATTTATCTGACATATAGTTAAACTTATTTTTCCAACACCAGATAGTAAATTTTTGACAATTCTTCCACAAGATGATTTCAGACGTCAAATTAGTAGGACGTTCGTAGAATAGTTTTTACGAAGAAACAATATTATCTGCTGATTGAAAAATCAGCCCTGAATCTTCTAATACCACATAACATACAACTCAACTTACGTCTCTCTCCCGATCTCTAGTCAACTGTACATTCCTCGCCCTGGCATCTTGTAGCTGTCTCTCCAAGTCCGCCACCCTGGCCAGCGCCTCGCCCGCTCTACTCATTAGTGCTAGCTTCTCGTCCGATGCTACTTGCACCTGCAGGAATTATGTCATTTTTTACCATGACGATGACTTCTACATAACATAACAACATAACATAACATCACGCCTTTTATACCCGAAGGGGTAGGCAGAGGTGCACATTATGACACTGTACAATGTAACACCCACTTTCACTATTTATATTATGAGTCCTATGTAATAGGGGGTGAGCCTAGTGCCATGTATCGGACACAATTCCAGACTCCGTGCTACTACTAAGATTTTTTTTTAAAAACCCAGTAATACTTTGCCCGACCCGGGAATCGAACCCGAGACCCCTAGCCGCACTTGCGACCACTCGGTCAACGAGGCAGTCACAATGACTTTTATTCTACGGAAAGCATTCTTATGATTGACAGACAGAGTGAAGCTAGTACTTGCAAGTAAAATTAAGATTACTTGGATCATAGCAATGTAGATAACAAAATTGGGAGCTGATAGTTTCGTTGTGATCCCCCAAAGTTCCATTTAAGGCACTGTAATATTGGCACCTTTTTAAAAACAATATTCGATCCAAAATGTTTGAATACATACTTCTATATTAATTAAAATTCATTTCTGTAAGTATAAGTACCTGTATCTGCAGTTCCTCTGCGTTGTCCTGCAAGGTCTTCATCTCCCCTTGCATGGCGGTCTTCTCCTGCCGCAGCTGTTCTATCTGGAACTCCAGCTCGGATATCGTTGATTTCGCGTTGTTCCGAGATACCTGTAACATTAATATTATACGTTTTCAAAAGACAAATCTCCATTTGTTGCATCTTTGGTTAGTGAAAAGATGAAATTAATACAATGTGCTTTTATAATAAGGCAGCACTTTAGTATTTGATAGGTTTCCCTAAGGATGTGCTGTAACAGGCGTTACATAGTGGAGAAGATTTGATGTCTCTTAAAAACTTATAGTGCCTACTGCCACACTGCCACTCACTGCGGTGGTTATTTACTATAAGGCAAAAATTTCATATTCCCATCACTTTCTTCCCAAAATTCTAACCGTATTTTGAAGCATAGTCGTCAAAAAAAGATCTATAGATAGCATAACATCACACATTTTATCCCCGGAGGAGTAAGTAGAGGTGCACATTATGGCACTTAATGTAACATTCACTTTTCACTATTTTTTTTTTGTAACGTTGCCCCACACTAGGATTTTCTCCTGTATCGTGGGTGCGTTTACAAACATACAAGTTCACATACACATAACACCTAGACTCGGAACAACAATCTGTGGATAACACAAAAAGTTGTTCCGTGCGGGAATCGAACCCGCGACACGTTGCGCGGCAGCCAGTTGCCCAGCCACCGCGCCAAACGTGCAGTCAAAATTTATGTTTATGACCCATGTAATAGGGGGTGAGCCTATGGATCCATAGTTAAGTATCCTAAAATAAAAAAGACCAAGATGTTTACCAGTGCATCATCGTGCATCTTCCTGGCGTCGGAGTGCGCGCGGTCGAGCTGTCGCTGCGCATGCGCGAGTCGCTCGGCCAGTGCGAGCGCGCGCGCCGCGGCCGCGTCCGCGTCCCGGCGCGCCGCCGCCGCCGCCGCCTCCGCCTCCGCCGCGCCCTCTGCCACGCCGGCGCGTTCTTCCAGCTGTAAAGAGGAATGGCGATTTTGATATTAAGTTAAAATATTTATTCGTTGGTATCTTGTCACAATGTTATCTTAAAATTCTATTATAGCAATATTTTAAAGTTAGATTTTATTAAATTCTATTATTACAATAGAATTATATTAACTAACCCAATCTCCCCAATCCCTGAAACCCCAACGATCCTCAAACTCCTAATTCTCAAAAGGCCGGTAACGCACTTGTAACGCCTCTCGTGTTTCAGGTGTCCATGGGCGACGCCGATTGCTTACCATCAGGTGATCCGTCTGCTCGTTTACCCGCTTATGCCACAAAAAGAAGTGGTTTTTAAATAAAGAGGGTTGCCATTATAAAAGTTTTACCTAAAATATTAACCAGGTAAGTACCCTTTCACATCTTTCTAGTCTAGTATTTCCACACCCGAATACACCCTTCAGCAAACACCTATAACCAGCATAACCTGATAACATACCTTTGCTTTAGCAGCATCGAGTAAGTCAGTGAGCGTGGCGATCTGATGTTGCCTGGTGGCGGCCAGCTCCGCCGCGGAGTCTGCTTCCAACTCGCAGCGAGACCGCTCCGACTCCGCACGTTCCACATTAGTCTCCAATGCACTGAAAGCATTTAAAATACTCATTTAATATTGAGATAACTTCTTCTTTTTAAGTGGTCAGCTTCCGCACTCTCGAATATGCTTTAAAAACGTCAAACAATGCTTGCTTCGTGTTGTGTAGTGGACTTTTCGGTGGGAATTATCCCTCACTAGCTTCTGCCCGCGACTTCGTACGCGTAATCCCATTTTTTCCCGTCCCCGTTCGTGATTTTCGGTAAAAAGTAAAAAAAAAGTTCGTTAAAAAGTATCCTATGTCGGTCTCCTGGCTCTAAGCTACCTCCCTACCAATTTTCAGCCAAATCTATTCTGCCGTTCTTGAGTTATAAGTGGTGTAACTAACACGACTTTCTTTTATATATATAGATTAAAAACTGGCAAACGCACTTGGAACTTATCTGTTGTTGCGGGCGGTTACCCGGTGATCAGCTTGCCGTCCCAATGCCATAAAAATTCAGAAGAAACAGAAAATAAAAATACAAGGTAAAACCAAATATATCAAACGAATGATAAGATACTTTATCAAGTATATTTTCGTATCATTTGAATATCTAAAATTATTTAATCAGATGAATATCTGAAAAAGGTGTATTTTAACGAATGATAAACTAATTACAACGATACACATTGACAATATATACACGACTACACGAGATAAATAAACCAACCAATGTAATCAGGTACAAAATTACATGTAGGTAAAGCAAGAAGGATTTTGTGCTCTGTAGAAGTGTCTGAAGGGGAGGCAGATCTGTAGTTATAATTAAATTTAACGGCATATGGCGTACCCACTGCTCTCATTCAAAGGATCCGAGATCCGATTCGATTGATCCGATTTAACTCGGTCCAAAAACATGCTACTATGATGATTATCTATGACCCTTTCTATTATTTTGTTCTACCTTGCCATTGTGATTATGATATCTGTATATTCGATAGTATACCAAATTTTGTTAAATAATAGGTATACTTATCCTTTGTTTATGAGGAATAAATAACATAACATCACGCCTTTTATCCTCGAAGGTAATGTAACACCCACTTTTCACTATTTATGTTATGAGTCTCATGTAATAGGGGGTGAGCCTATTGCCATATACCGGGCACCATTCCAGATTCCGTGCTACTACTGAGATTTTTAAAAACCCAGTAATACTTTGCCCAACCCGGGAATCGAACTCGAGACCCCTTGCCCGGCAGTCGCACTGGCGACCACTCGGCCAACGAGGCAGTCAGAGGAATAAATTATTCTTATTCTTTCCCGAAGTTTCCGAATTTTTATCCCTTTGGCTAACCCATATGATGATGAACAGTAAAATAACTTCTACTTAACAGTTTAATTATACCAATCAATAATCTATATATATAATTCTTCTGTGAGTGTGTATGTCACTGAACTTCTCTCAAACGACTGGACCGATTTTGATGAAATGTTTTTTGTTTGTTCAAGGGGATCTGGGAATGGTTTAGATTCACAAATCAGCCCGGCAGATGGCGCTGCAGTCGATGTTTAGGTTATTTATCATAAACAGCTGAACTAATTTGAATGAATATTTGTTTATACATTCAAGTGATATGCAGGACAACGTCTGTTGGGTCCGCTAGTTATATATATAAAATGCAACGTACCGTATCCTCTCAGCGAGTGTTTCATTTTCTTTGGTCTTCTCTTCCAGAGCCGCCTTGGTTTGGTTCAGTTCTGTCTCCAACTGTTCTTGCTTTGTCAGCAGATGTCTGCGTTCTTCTTGAGATAGCTTAAACGTTCAATAAGAAGTTTTTAAAGCCTTATCTTCAGGGTTTGAAGAAGTGAGTCATCAGTATGATCACCTCGCTAGATACTCTGGGTAGAGCATAACATAACATCACGTCTTTTATCCCCGAAGGGGTTTTTTTTTTTTTTTTTTTTTAACGGGGGAAAATCATCGAATGACTGCTCCCGCCTGGGTGAGGCGGAAGGGAGTGTCAGACTCTTACTGACTAAAAACCACCCCGTTCCTTCTCCTGCACGTCGAGCCGGAGCCCCGGTTACCCGTTAGGTTCTCCGCGACTCCGAATCGGCATCGGCCTTATTGGGCCCCATCTGTGGTGGTCTGATGGCTCTTTGAGGCGCGCGCGGAACGCGACGCGCCGTACGCTCGGGATCCCCGAAGGGGTAGGCAGAGGTGCACATTATGGTACTTAATGCCACTGTACAATGTAAAACCCACTTTTTACTATTTATGTTATGAGTCCCATGTAATAGGGGGTGAGCCTATTGCCATATACCGGGCACATTTGCAGGCTTCGTGCTACCACTGAGAATTTTTAAAACCCAATAATACTTTACTTTGGTAATCGAACCCGAGACCAGTTACCCAGCAGTTGCACTTATGACCAGTCGGCCAATGATGCGGGCAGTGAGAGAACTTATATCACTAATATCCACCACAGCCACACTACCGGACTATGGAAGTATGAGCCTATTGCCATATACCAGACACAATTCCAGACTCCGAGCTACAACTGAGATTTTTTTAAACCCAGTAATACTTTGCCCGACCCGGGAATCGAACCCGAGACGCCTTGCCCGGCAGTCGCACTTGCGACCACTCGGCCAACAAGGCAGAGTTATAGATAGAGCAAACGGTTGTATTTGCAAGCCGTAAAGTTTAGCAAACATATTTCTTCTTTAATTTTGCATCCAACATTAACAAATCTATTGCGAAAAAGTACGAAATATGCACTAAAACATGTGGTTATATAAAGTTATAGTATATTTCATTGTTTACCTTGAGAACAGCGAAGAGTTGTTGGTCGGTGTCTCCAGATACCAGGGTCTCTGGTTCCACACCCTCACGCATTAGGAGCTCTTGTAAGGTGTCCACCTGAAGAAATGAAATCATTTGATAAATGATGACATAATCGGTCGATATTATAGACTTCATAATAAACTTTAGAACCAGTTTCAGGGGTTTTTCCAGAGATTAGGTTAAATACTGATTTAATTTTGAAAATGTAATTATAATTTATAGCCAATTTTTTATAAGGCACTTCTTATAAAAAACAAATCTCCATTTTTTTATCAAACGTTAAGTGTTTCGCCTAAATAATTATCATAATGGTAATTGGAAGCTTAGGCCATCGTAGGTCAGACTCAAGGCCTATAATTTTGTTTTTATGGAATGAGCCGATAAACGAACTGACGGATCACCTGATGGTAAGCAATCGGCACCGCCCATAAACACCTGGAACACCAAGGCGTTACAAGTGCTTTACCAGCCTTTTGGGAATTGGGAATTTGAGGATTGTGGGGGATTCGGGGATTAGAAATACTGGTGGCCTCCAGTAACCTTACTCACACGACGAAACACAACGCGAACATTGTTTCACGTCGATGTTCTTTGAGGCCGTGGTATCACTCCGTTCGAGCCGACCCATTCGTGCCGAAGCATGGCTCTCCTACAATTAATTGATTCTGACCCAAAAATATCCAAAATGTATGTTACCTTAGTGCGACTATCTTCTAATTTCTCAGTCTGTCGACACAGTGACTCCAGCAGCACTTGTTTCTCGTCCGCCAGGCGCTCGTTGTCCGCATGAGCGTCCGCCAGCTGGGTTTGGAGATCTGCTAGCTCTGCTAGTGTGGCTTGTAGCTCTTCGCTTGTGCTGGAATTGAGATAGCGATAGGTCAGTATTAAATTCAAATTGTCAAATAAACGGGTGATTTTTCCTAATTTGTATCTATCAGGCTTGTCTTTTCCTAAGTCGTTAGCATTTATTTTGATTCGAAAAAAGCCTTTGACCTTCAAAGCAAGTTTAAATGATTTAGAATGTAAATGTCCATTTCTTATTAATTAAAACCTCCTGTTACCATTTCACGATTCATTTCGGTAGGTAATTATTTCCTTAATCAAAATTCGAGGGCATGATAGCTGAAATTATGGTAAAAATGATCATTAAATGTTCCAAGCTCCAGTTCCATTGATACCTGTAGTGGTGTTCCTCCATCTGCAAGATGCGGTCTTGCAAGCAGGCGACAGACACCTCGCTGAGGGACGAGGACGAGTGCTTGTCCCATTCTGGAGTACTCGCCTCACCGCTATCACCTTCACCCTGTAGACAAATATAGTCCATTTTTCGACTGGGAAATGCTTGCTGGGTTAGGTCTAATGTTTTACTACTCTAATACAGTTTCCAGGATTCCAGGAGTTGCAAGGCTCAGACTCAAGTTCCGTTAATAAAGTTCATGACCTTATGTAAGATATCATTTCAGCAAAATAATAAGTCTGTGGACCATGGACAAGACTTTATTTCTCATTTTTTTTTAGCTTATGTTTTATTTTTATTTTTTAATGATGTTATGTGTGTTCTGCGCAAAAATAAATGGTTTTTTTTTCTTTCTTTCTGTGTCACATTGAATTTTTTAACCTTATGAATTTTAGAAGGTTGATTAAGAGTACCTAAGTCATAAAGGGGAGACCTATGTTCAGTAGGGGACATTTTGAGGCTGATATTATGATGATGATGATTAAAGGTGGTTACATTGGCGAGTGCGATGGAGGCGGGCGCGGAGGAGTGCATGCGGCGCGGCGCGGGCGCGAGCAGCAGCTGTCGCTTCTCACTGTCGGAGAGCGGCGAGTGCGCCACGCCGCGCAGCCGCGCGCGCAACGCGCCGTTCTCGTCCGCAAGACGCTCCAGCGCTGCCTCGCGTTCTGCGTCCATACTCTGGAAATTAAATAATTACCATCAAGTTACGATGTTTCCGTCATTATACCTACCTACTCCTACAATAATTTACAGTATAATTAAAAAAGGAACTAAGTCAATACTAGAATAAAATTGACGTAAAAGTTGTCATTTAAATTCCTCTAATCCAAATTCTACCAGAAATACATCTAATTTTAGAGGAATACAATAAAAAAGGAATTAGAAATATTATGAAAACTAACATCAAGAAATCTCCAGGTCAATTCCATATACTGAAACATTTAATTTTATTTAAATCCACAATCCAATTATCATTCCACCTAATTGGATAAAATCCAGTAACTATGGCAGCCTATAATGGTCAAACTGAAGCCGTGATACTATTTGATCGTAGATAAAACTGGAAATCTTAACTATAGCGACCAAATGCCTTATTGTACTATCATGATACGCATAAAACCAAGAAGAGAACATAGTCTTGTTTAAGCATATTGGCATTAATATCTTATAGAGATTAACATTCCCACACACGTATGTACATCTACCTACAAGAGTGCCTAAAAGTCTCAAACTATCTACCATCTACAATGGACTTCGAACTACTGTATCTTCACTCTAGCAGTACATACCTTCAGCCTCTCCAGCTCTCCTCGAAGCCGGTCAGCTTCCGTTACCTTCTCCAGTAACTCCTCAACCCTGGCCTGTAGCTGTGCTCTCTCCATCACGGTAGCTTCCAGTTCTCTCCTCAACGATTCAATTTCCCGGACTCCTGACGCCAACGATGCCTGGAACGTCATTAAACATTATACATATCAGATCCCAGAATAATTTCAGGACTAAAATAATTTGTGTCATAAAATTATAATTAGATTTATTAAAATACTGACTCTTTGTCAAATATAACATTACTATAATTCAATACTTTACGGAATATAATATTAATGTCATTTCAATCAAAACTCGTCATATTTCAAGGTCTTCAGATTTATTAACAGAACGAAAGTCGTAAAACTCCAATAAGTATAAAGTGTACAAGCAAGTAATTAAAACCATAGAACTTTATAAATATTTATGTAATTGTAAATGTCTGATAAATATTTACTTATTTTTGGTTATCAAAAAGAAAGTATGTCAATTGAAACGGTCTCAATCATTTTTATAAGAATATAATCAGTGCGCTACTGACTTTTGACACGGTCCGACCTGGCTACCGTCGGTCATACTTCCTTGTACACATTTGAATTAATATTGATAGTTGCGAAAAGGTTAGTTGTAAAAGTACAGTTACTGACCTCAGATGGTACTCTAGGCCTGAGCTCCACTTCCTGGAAGCCGGGCATGTGATCGGCATTCAGAGTGACGGGCAGACTAACGCACTCCTGCGAGCCTCGCCCGCCTACCGACCCCAGCTCCTCAGCGCTACCGTAATCATGCACTCCGACCTGTCCATCTTCATACTCCAAACCTTCTCTTAACTCAGGGTCTTCTAACACAGCATTATTATTCCCTAAATCCTTCTTCTTGTGCGCTTTATGCAATTTCTCTTTTGACCCAAAGATCTTTAATGTCTTGTCGCGAGCTGGTGCGACTTTGTGGTGCTTTGAATCGAGACTCGACACTGACGGAGCCCCTTTTAACGTGGACTCCTGCTTCCCCTGACTTGGCCCTCTACGGAACAATGATTTGAACTTCATCATCTTGAGTTATTTATATCATTTTTCGGTTTCGTTTCACTGATCGAATAAGTTCGGTTTCATGTCGTTTGTATCACTTTGTATTGGAACATAGCTGTTGTAATTGGAATTAGATTAGTGCACTGTACTAGATGATGCTTTGACGTCTTGTCGATTCACTGCAATGTACTACAAATGAGTAAATCTTCAAGAACGAGCCACAATTCTCTATTAAAAATAAACAAAGTTATCACTCCCTAATAAGGTTTGACTGTGTAACGGAAATCACTCGACACGTTTTTAGACTACGAGTACCGAGTGCGCGAACAAAAAAAAATATTGAATGCTCCCGCGCATCGGTGCAGTCGACAGATGTGCGTATCTCTACAGGAAATTATCTCAACTCAAGCTCTATAACAACGAAGGCGGAACGAGACTTAGAACAACCCCTTATCAAAATTACGTGTAACTAATAGATAAAACACATTAATTAATTAAATGTAATAAAGATTACGTATGACATACCCGCTGCTGCAAGGAAACAATGCGATTTCACGGTAAACTAACACAAAAAATACTATCGAGTGCCTTTAAAACATCAGATTTATCAACTCATACAAAATTTACGAACCTGTCATTGATTACGTCTACACGAGATATGGTTTTGATTTCCATACAGATTTGGCAATGAAAAATACGCAGACCGTATCAGCTGTAGATCGTCCCACGCTAGTTGTAACACCCAAGGACGATGGTGAGAGAGAAGTAGGTTTTAATAGAGGTGATTACAATCGAGATAATAATGAGTATTATGAAAATAAAGTTTTCAAAATAGATGTGGGGATCAAAATAAGATAGATACGAAGAAAGGAGACAACGAGAGATATGCGCATTATACGCTGACCAAACTCATCTTAATTGCATGGCACGCACTGTTTTAATTAGCAGATACCTAGTTAATGTTTAAAACATGAGATGTGGAATAAGTGGTGAGTGACGTGCATCAATTGTACAATGATATGCCACTTTATCGTTAGCTAGAAGTCATATCTGTGCAATCTGTGCATATTCGATATTAAAATGATCGATTTACCTCGTCTGTTGATCATAAACTACGTGTTTACGATGCACGAAATTTCATAACATGCCAATTTTTGCACTTGAACTTACATTCAATGAATCAAATGAACAATATCATTCCACATAATAAAAATAATAACCTTCGAAATCAAACATAAATCAAAACATGTCATTGAAAGTATAAAGTATTAAAAATATCAAATAACGAAGACAATAATGATATAATGTGTTTATGATTCACTCTTTCGTGTCAATAATAAGACATAAGAACCCTACTTGTGTTACGATTTCAAACGCTTCAATGCGTATACATATCTACATATGTATAGGTCATAAAAGATACTGCAGTTCCCCATAAAATTCCCCGACATTTAAAACACAATTACCCTATAGATGGTCGTCACTTATCCGATAATCCACGTTGTTCGGGACAGGACATGCACCGTGTCCCCCCATATGCAAATAGATAGGGGACCGGGTAGGGCAGCTTTTTGTTTCAGCTTACACTGCAACGGGGCCGTCCGATTGCTTTTATTTGAAATCGTCACGTTTATTGTCCTTTTGTTATTTCTCTCAAAGATTTACAATAGCATTTTTAATGTTAAAGTTGTCTCTGAATTGTTGGGTGTTGGAGAACTTGGTAAAGTTTGTTTTATTGTTGTTGTTTTTTTTTATCTTTTTGGAGTACAATAAAATTGTTGTTGTTGAGAATGTGGGGCTGTATTGCCCCTAGTTTGTTTCAATAATATATACCTTCTTTGTTTGCTCAGGTATTCTTATATTATGGTCATATACATACATAGAGGAATCTGTAGCTGTAGCCCCGGATTTCAAAGCATGTTAATTTTTGCGGTTTCTAATTAGTCATCGAAAATGAAACTTGCCAGATTTAATATTTGGATAATTCAGAAGATCAGTTAGTTATTTGTAATGTCTGCATTGTTAATGTACATCTGACAGAAGAATGACTCATAAAATAGCAATCCGAGGGTCCTATTTGAGTAGAAACCACCGAACCGACAAAATAGCCGTTAATTTCCCTCCATAGCATGTCAGATTAGGCCCTTATAATCATAGTAATTGTTATGGCTACACAAACCACACCCATAGTCCAAACAGCGAAGCTCGGACCGAGCCCAGTGTCAATTTACTTGGAGTAATTCAATTGAAACATGGCGTAGTATAGTTACATGTATGTATGACTGTATGTAAATGTATAGTTGATTTGTATGTGGACGGGGTACGCTAGCGGACGCCAACTAACCGATTTAGGAATGGTACTGCACTTAAAGTGGGTAATACTGACGTTTAAAGGAATGAGTACCAATAAAGGACTATGGCCACTGATAAATGTATAAATAAGGAAAAAATAACAGTTGGTTCTTCAAGACGTCATAAAAATATTAATTAAAAAACTGTTAATGAACGTGATATTGAAGCTGTTAATCAACTAGCTGTTTATAGATTTTTATTTACAATTGAATAGAATGGGAATGATGATATCTATTATTTCAATGTCGGAAACAAAATATTTCCTATAATAATCTTTGCGATGATAGAATCGACATTGAGAAAGTTATTTTAGGAAATACTATTGATATAATTCAAATGATCGCTGTTGATGTCGAATGCAAAGCTAAATAACCATCAAGAATTCTCGCCTGCGACTAATGTGTCATTTTCTCACATAGAACTCGTTATGTAGTATGTGTACTACTCATATTATACCTAGATCTCGATTAACTCATTCATACATTACATTGGTAGTGAAGTACAATCTGAGTCCTATGCAGTAAGAGGTCGACGCTCCGGCATCAGATTTCCAAGCAACTAGATAACACTTATATGTATTTTACTCATCTCAATAGATTGCAAATTACATAATATTAACGTAATGCTAATTGTGAATCACGATTTATTAGTGCTCATTTAAATGGAAGCGATTGATCGCGTGTGACGCAACCTAAACATATTTCAATGTGTAGATTACAACCGGCTTTATCTATTCTCATGAATATATTTCTAGATTTTTTTAGTCATATATCAAAGCTTAATTTATTGGCTAGATTGTTACATAAATAGTTGGTGAAATCCACCTAAGAGTAGATTACAAGATCAATCAATTATGGAGTTCCACAAGGAACTGCACTGGGTCCAACTTTTAACAAAAATTGTCAATCTATAAAGACCATAAAGCGATTCCAACACGCTTTACAAGTACAGACCTTCCGATCACGGGGCAAGGTGTTGAAAAGAATGCGCTTTCTCTACCTCTAGCGAATATTAACGTGGCTATAGATCGATCACTCTAACTGCCTTATTAACCACTGTCTCTACTGGCGTCTGCTCAAGATTTATGAACGTATCGACACCTTTTATGAATATAAATGACTTCCACATTGACAATTTTCGAATCAAAATTCAGAACTCATTCTAATTGTGAAAATATTATGTAACGGTTATTGAGTAAGTTTTGGAACAGTGAAATTATAATACGTTTATCTATAATACCTAACACAGGATAACTGCAAAACTTTGCCATAAATATCTTCCGCACTCATAAATAACGGCGACGCTTTTATTTATTCAAATAAGTACCTAGCATCAAGTACCTACAATATTTCTAGCACGCAATCGACTTGTTTATGTTAATATAAAAGCAGCTTAAATGCTAGAAAGTCAAACAAATGTCTTTGACTATTGTTTGCATGTACGGAATGTTGTCTGTGGACTATTATATTGGAACTCCTCGAACGGTGATAATGCGTATGTTTGTTATAGTGATTATTTACGTACCACGGTTACATATTAGTTACATACTAATATCGTTTCATTAAGTTTGAAGAGGCATGTTTGGACATAATCAATAGGAATTACTCAGATTACTTAATTGACTATAAATCTCGAGAAAATACTGGGAAAATCTGTACTAGTTTCAAGCCACAGAGGGGCTCTTCCCCATGAGCAGTGCGCAACATCGCACCGACCGCGCTCGCTTTTTAGTTTTTATCTATTAATAAATCAAAATACAGCTTCATTCAATATATCTAGCCAATAATGTATTTGTAATGAATTTAAATTCTATCTCAAACAGGAATTCTCGTTGATGAAGTCTCGGTCAAAGCGAAATTTTAATATATTACGATGCATACATTTTCATTTAGCGCACTTCCACGTTTTATTTTGTAAAGGAAAACTGAATTGCAATGGTGAAGTGTCTGGCACTTCGCATTAATTGAATAACGAATACCAAAGACCCAGGGCTGGATAAAAGTAAGTAGTTTTATGAATGCAGGTGAAACTGAACTAAAAAGCCTCAAGACTGGTTAAATACTGGCTTACACAACAACATCTATATTTGGAGACGATTCTGAGAAGTACAAAATTGCAGATAATCGGAATTCCACCAAGAGCTGGATTAACAGCCTGAGTAATGTATAAATGGAGTTTCGCAACCGACAGACAAAATAAAATAAAATGGACGCTTTATCGGTTGACGCCAAGTTGGTTTTAATGGAGATCGTATATTCAGCAAAAGTATTGGAGATTAGTGTCGATGTCGATGCCAAATGCATCGATGAAAAAGATAAACCACAATAAAACATCAACAGTTATTATAGTCATTTACACAAAGATTATTGTAGTGACAAAACTTAAAATATTTTTTAAGTTTGCATGTATATGTCATAAACAAAACATTTTGCGAACAATTGGACTCAAGTCAAAATCACCACCATAATGGCAACAATAACTAACAATGAAAGTAAATAGACGAACATGGACAATATAATTAAAACAAATCGATTCGACCAACATTCTACAGGCGGTTAACGCTAAATCACGAAGCACATAGATCGCAAATGGCAAACTTTTACTGAAGAATTTGCAGATGGTAATAAAAATTAATTGTGTCAT